ATCCAATTATATTCAACATATTTAGAATAGTATGCTTAAGATTGGAAACTTGATCGACAATTTGTATGTGATATCCAGCTTCTACTAACTTAGTGACAACTTGTTTGGCAACTCCAGCTTGACACACAAAGGCTACGTTCCATATAATGCTCGCATCATTTGTTCTTGTTTAACATATGATAAAATAAACAACAAGAAATGATTCCACGAACGTTAAAAGCGTTAAATAAAACGCAGTCATAATAGGTAAAATTATTGGGAAATTTTAATTTAATAATTTCAATTTGATGATTATTTTACGAATTTAAATATTAGGGACGATGTGAGAATAATATATTTACAAAGAATAAATATTTTTGGTGTTATATTATGGGAGAGATATAATGTCTCTCTATGGACCTATATCTTATCGTGCATCTTCTAGATAAGGAGAAGATATATATTCACAGGAAGACGTATCTCTCTCAGCCAATAAAATAACATAGCCTTGCTACATACCGGTGAGCACCAAATTTTTATTACTAGTTTGGCTCGCCACTATCTAGTGCGAGTTTTGCAAAGAGTTTCGGTATAAGACGTTCATCCGAAAATAGTGGTCGGTTTTTTGCACCAACTCGCGCTTCAACTCGACTAGCCACCATAATATCTTTTACAAGTAACAAATCCTTATATTTATTTTACGAATCATGTATTTTGAGACATCTATATAACTAACAAAAATTGAGAAAGCAATGTTAATACCGCATTTAATCTACTTTAAAATTATGTGATATAATCATAATTACATATACATATATATTTCAGGGATATAATTAACAATTTCATACTGAAAGTCATGTGATAAATATCCTTTTAGCATTATTCAATCAAACTGTACGCGAATAGAGAGAATTTGTGCCTAAGGTGCATATACGCGCTACTTTCCAATCACTGGAGCAATACAAATATATTGTCTGTGTAAATATACATACACATATATATTATATGTATGATAGGCGGCGATTAGATATAATACATACTTCGATTCATTGTAGTTTTATCGTAGTGATTAGACCTAATGGTTGTCGTAATATTTACCGTATGTATTTACAATAAGACTATTTTACTGTCGACATGATTACAAAGTATTTTATGAATACGATCTTACGTACAATGGGCATATGTGTGTGTATACGTGCGTGCATGCGTGAGAATAAATCCATTATTAAACGAAAATATTTACAAATAATGTCTTGTCATATCATTGTGCTTAATTACTTCTAATATCGCTATTGTAAAAAACGGAATCAAATATTGTAATAAGAAATTAATATTAATAACAGAGCAATATTCATGATTATATCGTATTGCAATATATTTTGTATAGCTCGTGTGACTTAAAAGTAATAGAGAGAGTATATATATTTCGTATATTTATTGTATTTTTCGAACCTCTAATGGAAGAACATAATTTTAAACAATTTTAAATTATAAACTTGTATAATTGATGGTTATATTACAAAAACAAAATAGTATTATACAAATATAACTTATTTACACTCTTCGATTCTTCGTCACTTATTTTAATGTGCTGCCCGTATTTGTAGTCTTGTAACATTATACTATTTTATGTAGTAAAAAAATAAAGACTATTTTACAATCATAATATATAATTCATGGTTATCACTGATTTATCACTATACATTTTTATTTTCATTTTTATTTAACAATATATAGATAAAGATATGCTATATTAAACTGTGTAAGATCTAAATCTGCCTCCTGCAAATATTATTTCCCGATATTCACAAGTTTTTCATAAATATATTTCTTTTTTTTTGTTTTAAAATGCTTGCTGCTATTCTAATTTTTATTAATGAGCTTCTGGTGATTGAGAAAAGAGAACTACAAAGACCCACAATTGGAGCAATGCCTTTAAAAATATATACGTTTTGTAGCAGTATTGAAATATAAATGACAATTCACACATATGTATGTACTTACCATGTAAAGCAATACTAAAATCCTAGCTAATGGATATCTTCTTAAAAATACTCCTGTTCGAATGCTTATGGCATCCAATGAAGAATAAGCTCTTTTCACTCTTCTAGTAACGCTGGTATCAAATGGTGTTTCCATTAAAAATGTAGGAACTTGAGCTTTTGCATCATCTGTATCATTTATATTGTTATACGATATATTTCTTCGTAAATTGCCTGCAGCATTTCTATACTCATGCTGTTAAGAAGGCTATTATTAGTATATGCATACATAAAGCTAAAAAATAATTTTTACAAGAAAATATATTTTATAATGCTAAATTTTATTAACAAAATTATCAATAAATGTTTTATTTGAGAACAATATATCAGAAAAAAAAAATTTTCTAGTAAAAATTCATAAGCTATTATATTTACTTCAATCTTTTCAAGTTGGAGACGTAATGCATTTCTTTCTGTTGTCAAACATTCCAATGCTTGCTGTTTTAGAACCAGAGTTTGAGTAAGAGATGCTATTCTCGAATCCATTTCATTACTAGGCGTTGCCGACACAGACAGCTGCAACTTAAGCCTAGAAATCTCTGAATTCTGCTTTTGTAACTGTAAACTAAATCCATTACGTTGACTAATTAATTCATCTTTCAAAGATCTTATTTCCTAAAACAATATTGTTATTTTTAATCTTTTCGATGAATTAATTCACAACAACTTAGAGATATTATTTTTGTAGAAATGCAAACAAAAAATGTAATTTACTTCAGAATGCAATCTCATGTCTTCTTCTGTTTCTAATCTTCGACGTCTTTCACTAGCAAGAATCTCTTGATTTTGTAGATTTGTTTCTGCTGATTTTTGTCTTATCTTTTCCAAGTTCAGATCTGCATTTATCAACTCTTCCCTCAACATTTTCAGCTGTTGACACATTTGCTGATTTTCTTCTCTAACACTGTCACGTTCCTGTCTGTTTAATACAATAGATTATCTTCATAGAAAGACTGTTGAATATACATTAACTTTATACTTATAAAATACTGATACTGATTTTACTGACTTTAATTGATTCAATTCCATGATATTAGCTTCATCCATGGCTGTCGGTGCATTACTTTTCAGTTCTGCTATAAGTTTTTCCTTTTCTTGTAAAGTTCTTAATGCTCTAGCCTTATGCTGTTCCAATTCAGATCTAATTGAGTTTAATTCTTGTCTGTTTCTGTCAATGACGGATTGTAAATCTATTATTTGCTTTGACTGCTCTAACTTTTCCATTTCCAAAGCTTTTAACTTTTCATTTAGAACTACAATTTCTTTTTGAAAGTCCGTCTGTTTCCCAAGAAATTCATTTTGCTTCTCCAAGTGACTTTCCAATTCTCTTGTATATTTTTGTTTATTAATTAAATCAATTGGATTATTTAAATTATCGGTTTTTAAACTGTTTGATTTTATTTTATATCTAGGCTGAGGATAGAATACAGCTGAATGTTCCTCGGCATTGTTGTATTCTGTAATATAAAAATGCAAAATATCTGTAAAAATGATACAGCATAATTACATGATATAAAAATTATACCATTCTGTGTAGTTTTTGTTGTTGGATTATCCAAATTCTCACAATCTAAGGTCTGTACTTCATCATTTGAATACAAATTTGAATTTTCCATATTTAGTTCAGTACCTTTATCATCCAAAATATTAGGAACCATTTCAATTGAAATATGAGATGGAGTTGGACTTATCCGATCACTTTGAATTGACAGATCCGAATCTGTGTCATCTGTAGGATGTTCTACCAATAATGATGAAGTAGTCGATGGTGATTTAAAAGATTCCACTATCCTCTTTGGACTCGGGTCAGGCGTATTCAAATATGTAAATAGTGCGTCATCTTTAGGTGCCGTTACATTTAATAAATTCACAGATGTCAAACTTGAAGTAGGAACTACATAAGAAATATGATCTGATGATCCCAATGAAGGTGTCTTGGACGTACTTCCATTGAATCTAAATTGAAATAAAGATTTTTATTAATTTTATAATTATGTTAATTTTCTTAGATATTTTTTATTAGTCACTTTTCCATTAGGAATATGTAAAACCTGTTGAAAGCTATATGCAAATATATTTCGATAAAATTTGTATTTTATTTATGTTACATTGTTGTATATAAATAAGGGGAAATGGAGGAATGACATTTCGCGAAATGAACACACAATTAATTTAAATATTCAACGGTAATAACCTGACATGAACGCAATTACCCAGATTCCGGAGAGAGCCATGTAACTTCTGACAGATGACCCTGTGGCATCTCGTATTTGTCTTTATTTAATACAGCCGCGGTGTTTTTGTCGATTTTATTTAACAAATTTTCTGCCTTATCAGCAAGGCCAGACAGCCAAGCCATATCGTTATGAGGGCTGATAAGAAATGTCCGAAGAAATGAAAACCGTGTCGCACGTAACGACGTTCAACGAACCGCACCACACTATCCAAGTATCCACGCTGCCACACTTCCGGAAGTCCCGGATCCAGTATACAACAAGAGGTTTGTTTTCTGTGGCTGAACTAATGTACACTTTTGGAGTTTAAAGTGAAACATGCATATACGTTTGATATTTGTTGAAAACGAGAAAGAGAATTCTAGTAGTCTTCTGCAGGAACAGAAAACGGACCAAATGACAGAATACTGGTTGGTGGCATAATATGTCTATCTTTATACCATGGCTGGTGGTAAAACTGATAAATGAGGCAACGTGTCGGATTAGTTGCACTCTCCCGTGCTGATTGCACTCAAACCGCGCAAAAGGTGCGTTTAATTGCTAGGGAATTGTTTCTGAGTGCTTATTTGATGCTCTACAAATGCTACGAAATTTTTGATTGACCAATCGGAAGAAAGAATTGTATTAATTAACCAATCCAAAAATGCTTCAATGCATTTGTAGCATCAAGTGGATCGTGTCTTAACGTATTGTGCGTAGGCCCATGATATATGTCTTTATATCATGCGTAGGCCCTTAATCGAGTTTGGTGAAGAAGGTTCTACAAACCGGTTCTGACTTCTCTTATAAGCTTGTAAGAAGTATCATTACATTGTAACTTATACGTAAGGTGTATTTTTTACGAGAGGTCACGAATTAACATTAATGCATATAAGCTATATAAGTATACGAACGCGAGGATTCAAAGTATGAGTCTTACGGAAAATCCGAACACGCAGGTTGTTCTAGATGATCAGTTGCAGCATTTTATCGAGGCTGAGACGAAAAAGCAACAGTTCCAGGTTAGTTTCTTAGTCAATCGCGCAAATATAGATATCTTCTATTTGTACTTATATAAATAATATAATATTTAAGTTTTATAGATTGTAATATATAATATTTATATAATTATTCAATATTGCATATTATGATTAAAATATTTATCAATATTTTTATGATGTACAATTTATTGTTTTATCATGTGCAATGAATTATATAATTTGAAATCGATTCATATACTTGAGAACAAATTTATATAGATATTTACTTCATCTTTATTTTTTAAGCTTTTACTATGTGATCTATATGACTGAAGAGTGTTGAATGAATTATATAACTAGATATTTTCAGGGATTGGTACATGAATTAACTGGCCTTTGCTGGGAAATTTGTATGGATAAACCATCACTGCGTCTGGAGCCTAAAGTTCATAAGTGTCTCGTGAATTGCGTAGAGAGATTCATTGACACTACCAATTATATCACAAACAGAATAGAACGAGTTGCCTCAAATATGCAGTCTGATTCAGATAGCATGGAGTGAAGATATCTCAAGGATTATATGTCAAAATTTGTCATGCATATATTTTAAAAACTCTGTAATATACTTGTATGTGTACTAGATCTACATAAACAATTAGATATGTTTTCAAGCATTCGAGGATTTTTAAGTCGCCACAGGCGTAAGTTTATATTTGGGAGTGTCGTTATTAGTAGCGTCATTTTTTTGATGCGTTACACACAGCGTAAGTTACGAGAATGGCAAGAAAATGAAATAAGGATGCTGATGGAAAGGACAAAGAAACGACAGTACTATGAAACCACAGAGAGATCGTGTGATCAATTGATATCACGTCTTGTGGTAACTTTGAGAAATTCTGTGATCAAAGAAAATGATACAGAAGTCATTGTAAATCAACTTAAAGATGGCTCTGCTGATAAAATAGCATTGTGGGATCAATTGAAGGTATTAGCAATCACGCGACCGGCCGTAATAATTTATTCTTATACGATGCTAGTTACATTTCTTAGAATTCAGCTCAATTTGATTAGTGGACATATGTATAAAGACACGCAGAATATGAGCAATGTGGACAATGAGATAATCAACAGTGAAGTGCATGAGAGATACATGGCTCTTTCCAGATATTTTATATACGAAGGTATTAAAGATTTGAGTGATTTCGTACAAAATAAAGTTAGTGAAGTCGCAGCTTCATTGTCTCTAACGAAGCAATTAACGTTAAGAGATTTAGAACAAATTTATTGGGCGATTACATCTTCTGTGTCTGCTGATAGCTCAAAAGATCCTGTAAAAAATTTCACTTATTACACATTGCAATATGACATCGAAAACGGTGAGACATCTGTCTATTCAAAGCTGAGGGATCAGATGCTAGACGTATCAGAAAGCGAAGAAGTACAGGATTTAATGCAGAAAAATATCAGATCTGGATTTGTTTTATTAATGGATCACATATCTGTATACTTTAGTGAACCTTCCCAAACTAACAGTGTACAGAACACAGCATCGTTTTCAGGAGAAGGATCAAACGCTGGAAATTCAATTCTAACAAAGAGGGAAACTACAAATGATTTGAGTGAATTTGTAGATGTTAACAAAACCACTATGGCTTTAGCCAAAATTATTCCTATTGTGAATAGACAGGTTCCAAATAATCCAACTTTGAATGATCTAGCAGAGGATTGGCTTCAGCGTCTGATATTTAATAATGATCTTAAAACACTCGGAGCTAATCTTTACGAAGCAGTCTGCTAAAGTTAATTGAGAGTCAATATTTTGAAAATTAAATGGGAGTATTATTGATTGCACATTCAATAGTATCGATAGAGTAATTTAATAATTCTTTGTGCAGTAATGATATAAAATTGTATTTAATTTTCATATAGATTTGTTTTTTATATATTCAGAATTAAGGGATACCATAGAAAACTATTTGATATATCTTTAGATTAAAACACATGGTTGACGGTTTCATTGTATTTTCATTAATGTTACACACATCTAATTATCAAATTTTCAACGGACAGATGCTTATATTTTATGAGGAAATATACTGTAATAAAACAATTAATTGTAAAACAATAGAGATGATTATCTAACAGAAAATTGTTAAAAACGGTATTGCTATTACTCATATAAGATATATATAAGCAAAAATTTGTTTTAAATTAAATTATAATTTAATAATGGTATAGCACTTTTACCGTAATTGACACGATAATTGATAATACTTTCATATAATAAAATTCATTTTTCGATATTGTAATGAAGTTTTATTGTTCTCTAATTTTATAAATGAAACTTTTATGTTTGTATATCTTAAATATATTGTTTTTACTGGGGGGGAGTAGTTAGAGAGAGTAGGAATGAGTGCATGTGTGAGACTAGAGATCCTCTATCAGAGTTTCGCCATAAGGCGTAAGTGGGCAAAATCCTATGAGAGAGAAAAATATATCCATCTTTTTTCTTTTTTAAATCTAACCTAATTTTTCTGGACGTGCTCACGCACGATTGTCGCTCTTGATAATTCACTAGTTTAAGAACATTATTGAAAATTGGAAAACTTCAAATTTAAACCTGGAATATCAAAGAAAACGTTTAATTTTTTAAAGTTTAAAAAATTCTCTTTTAATAAAAAGAAATAGATTTCGAATGTGGATTATTAATAGTCGACAAAATATTTATGTTATACAATACAAAAATGTTGTATAATTAATCTTATATATGAATAGAAAATATTTAAATTTATAATTAGATTTCGCTCGTTTTTTGCAATGCAAAGTATAAATAAAAACAGTCTAAATCTCGATTTAGACCATTATTATCTAAATAAGATTTTTTTATCAAATAAATTTCTAGTTTACAATGTTAATACAACATAAAAATAAAAAATATATCGAACGTTTCAGAACATATGGGTCCTTCTTCAACGATTCTTAGCTAACACTTGCGCTTAACAGAATCAGACGAATACGTAAAGATGCTTCTGCTTTCATACATTTTATCACACAATTTCCACATTCACACAAAAACAGGAGAATAAATTTCTTGGAACAAATAGTACATACCACACCATGTCTCGCTTAGATCGTAAGATTATGCTTTCATATCTATGATTTTATAACATCTATAAGAATCGCTGAAAAATTCAGAAAATGAAAAGGGGACAAATTTAATGAAATGTTAAAAATTTTTAAAAAGATTTTTATTAATATTTATAAATTTTCATCTGCCTGGATCTTATATAAGTCTATCTCGTAAAAAACGGACTATAAATTGAATATTTTATTCATATACGAAGTCAGTAAAGATCAGTTAATACTATGTTGTAAAATTAGCTGTTAATTTGACTTGGATTTTAATATGTAGGCAAACTCATAGCAAATGGTCAATTACTGTATCGTGGTTAATCATCATATACCCTATATTAATCACATTATCCTATATTATTATTTTAGTGTTTTGCATATAAAGATAATAATATTTATTTCTGCTAAAACAATTTTTATTTGTATTGCCGAAATATAACGTTATAACATTAATGATAATGTTAGTGTGTCCAAATATGAGCGGGAGTTGCCCACTTTTGGAGGACCAATAAAAACTGGCTATTTTATGGCGAGACTCTGATTGAGGGGGTCTATGTGAGGTAAGTGAGGGACCGAATTTTAGATGATGAGAGGAAATAAGACTAATGAGAGGCTAAATAATAAACGCAGGATAAGGTTTATGCATGAAAATAAAGGTATAAATAGGAGGTGTGCGGATAATAAGATATGAAAAGCTTTTTGAGAGAGTTGCAATTGAGGTTAGTGGATACGACGAGTCTAGAAGCCAATATGGCCGGTATCGGTAAGGTAGGAAAAGATAAAAGACAATAAATAAGGTGATTAGAAAAAAGAAAACAATAGGAAATGAGGATAAAAATAGGATAAAGGTGATAATATGGGATAGGGTAAATAAAGATTGGAACACCGATATGATGAAATATATGAAGTAAAAAATGATAAATTAAGAAGATAATAGGTAAGAGAAAAAGTTTTAAAGTATATAATGCTAATAGATGAGTGAAGGCTAGTTGAATAAATTAGGATAAAGAGGAAATAGGCACGAGAGCAAAGTATTGATGGATGTACGAGGATAGGTCGATAAATTGTAAACCAAGTTCCCTTTTTTAGCTATGTATGCTTGAAAGTAATAAAGTTCTATATCTTCTATATCTACATTGTTTTTTATATTTAGTAAAAATTTGCTTAAGAATAATACACTATTAGTATGACTTTGAAAATATTGCAAAGCTGATTATTTCCATAATTTCTTAATCGACATGTTCTTCTCAGAATCCTTTTGCATCACCTTTGCTACAGCCATCTCAAAATCTTCTTGAGTTACGTGAACTCGACGTTCTCTAAGAGCATACATTCCAGCTTCTGTGCAAACACCCTATAATATAAATAATATATTTTATAATATAAAATAAATATGTTTTATAATATAAATAATATTCGCATCATAGAATATAAAGTTATTGTATACAAAAATTTTGTAAACTTCTTCGATTCTTTTTATTATAATGAAAATGAAATTTAAAAATAATTTTCTAAAATTTTCTATCAAAAAATTTAAGATTGTAGAACAACACAAAATTTTTATAATATCATAATATCTATATTCTTTTTTTGAAGACTTAAATTTTTGGAGTCAAATAATTTGTTGAGAGCATATAATTAGATTTTATTTGATATTTATTCCATGATAATTATATGATAAAACTGTAATGTAAAAATATATATCATTATTTTTAATTACCTTAACTTCTGCTCCTGATGCTCCGGGCATAAGTTCAGCTATCTTTCTGAGATTTATACCACGTGTTAAATTCATTTTCCTAGAATGAATCTTCAAGATATCCAATCTAGCTTCTTCATTTGGAGGTGGAAATTCGATTTTACGATCAATACGTCCAGGTCGCAATAATGCTGGATCTAAGATATCAATTCTATTTGTAGCCATAATGACCTTTATGTTCTTTGTTGCTTCGAAACCATCTAATTGATTAAGCAATTCTAACATAGTACGTTGTACCTGAAAGTATAATTTATGATATAATTAAAAAGAATAAAATTATATAATTATATTTATATCATATTCCATATATACTTCGCTATCACCACCGGAACCAGATTCAATCCGGGAACTTCCAATGGAATCGATTTCGTCCATGAATATTATAGACGGTGCATGTTCTCTTGCCATGACAAAAAGCTCGCGAACCATACGCGAACCTTCTCCAATAAACTTTTGAACTAACTCAGATCCAGATACACGAATGAAAGTGCACTCGGTATGATGCGCGACTGCTCTTGCAAGTAGAGTCTTGCCAGTGCCTGAAAGATTTTGCGTTGTCATTACCATCAAAGATTATGACACACAGATAATTAAAATAATTATATCAATTTTTATTGGACCGTTAAATTTCAAACCGAATGAGACAATGCCACAGTAGTCTAAGGTGGATCACGAGTGCTTTTAAATAATTACGTGTGAATTTATATACTACATATATATTAATTTTCTATTGCAAAAATTAATTATTTACAGTTTTTAATAGGTTATTTAACATTATTAAGATCGATATAAAATGCATAAACAGCATCAATAATTGTTAAATTGTTAGTCAATTTAACTCATGATAACTGTGATAGTTTATTAGTGCTGCATTTCAAGTCTGAAAAAATTCGGTGTTGCAATTGAAGAATTACATACGTAGTACATAAATTCACACGCAATTTAAAAGCACTTGTGATCCAGCTTTAGACTGCTGTGGCATTATTTTATTCGGTTTAAAATAATTGTAATAAAATATAAAAGTTTTATACATATATTTGTTATAATACAGCTTATTCTTTTTAATAAAATTTTTTGAACAGTTTATCATTTTCCTCTTTTTCTTTTCATACTAAAGAAAAAAAGGAAAAATAAACTGTGTATAAGTTCAGCTAAAAAAATATCTACAATAAATTTGTTACCTGGTGGTCCATATAGCAGTACACCTTTAGGCTGTGCGATTCCAAGAGCGTCAAATAATTCTGGATGCTTGACTGGCAATTCTATGACCTCTTTTATTTCTTTTATCTGTTTATCTAAACCTCCAACCATTTCGTACGTAGAATCCGGTACTTTCTCTACCATCATAAGAGAGACAAGCGGATCGACTTTATTTGGAAGTATTTTATGCAGAGTATAACTTTCATTGCGTAGAGCAACACGTGAGTTTGGAGTTACGTCATTGATGTCGATATTTTTGTCTATATCTACTACAAATTTGCCTTCTGGATGTACTTTGACTAGGACTTTCTTCTTATCCATAGGTTTAACTACTTCTCCTACATAGGAACCCTGTTCTTGTAGGAGTTGTAATTCTTCCCGTAGCATGCGTACTAAAAAAAACATAACAAGAGAAATTGTCTTGTATAATTGAGAGAGAATATGGCTAGTATTTATAGGCTATGATCCATTTGATGCTAGAAATGCTTCAAAGCATTTTTTGATTAATGAATTGGTAAAATTCTTTCTCCTGATTGGTCAATCAAAAGTTTTGAAGTATTTATAGCGTCAAGTGGACCGCAGCCATAGTTAATTATTATATTTAAAACTGTTTTACAGCCTTATGATGTCACAAACCAATCAAAGAGCTATATTAACAAGCTTTTATAATCTTACACAGCAATTATATTTGTATCATCAAATCAAAATAGTCACCTTTCGCGTTGAGTTCATTACGCTGCGCTTGCAATCTCCTTAAATTTTGGCTCTTTTCAGCAACAATTAATTGCAATTCTTCGATCTTCGTAATGTAATACGGTTTAAAGCCTTCACCTTTAGCATTCTTCTCGTCAATATCCATCTGAAAAATTTCGAGTGATGAGTTACAGATAAAAGTAAAATATTTTCAGTCGCTGGCATAGTTATAAAAATATTAAACATTTTCCTTACCTTATTTGTGAGCGTCATGATTGACAGTAGAGGAACAAATTTTTCGCTTATCATTCTGACGCAATCCGTTGGATAGCGCCCTCATTGGAGTGCAGTCCTGTGGCGACCCGCCACCAGAGGTCCAAGGAAGAGACTCGCGCCAATTCTCGCATGTATTCACAAACAAAAGGAATAAAGCTTTGCGCACAATGAAAGAAATATTATTAGTAATAGCGAGATAAATATTAAGATTTATCAGAATCTAATTACATTGGAACGATTTTTAATAGGTTGAAATCTTCATATTTTTTCCTATTCTTAATATTGCCTCCATTGCGTTTGAGCCTTTTAACATATCAAACACCGGAAAACTAGTGTCTGATAGGTTGAATGGGTTGAAATCTTAGCCGATAAATTTAATTCGTAAGCCCGCAAATACAATGAATACATTCAGTCGTCGACTAGATGACTGAATGTATTCATTGTACTTGCTACTATTAAAGACGTTTGACACTTATGGAAGTTCGCGTAATCGTTAAAATTAAAGTGATAAAAATAATGAACTCTCTGATAATATGGTACTAATTTTATAATTTATTAATTTTGTAGACATGTATATATGTTTCAAATTTAATAATACTCTATTTTTAATAAAAATTGTGATTTTAACGTTATCATCCGAGTTTAATTAATTATTAATATGGAAATGATAACTGCAGAGAAAAAATTGTAATTTTTCAATAATATATGAGATATAGTGCGTACTTCTTTATACAGTATTTATATAATAAAAAATCACAAATTTAATGTATTTATCGAAATATTTAAGCTGGCTTTCCATGCTGACGCTCGATTCTCATTTTCAACGTCAGAACAGATCACGTGATAAAAATTGACGAATAGCAAGCGTCAATGACGCTTGCTGTCGAGCGTCAGCATGAAAAGCCAGTTTTATTTTATGTTAATAATCGCAAATTTACATTAATTGTCGATATTGTCACCGTTCTTCAATTATTTTCAGGCCCCGGGGTTCCATTGACAGTCACGAAAATTTGAACAGACTTAGCTGCGTTCGGTAATAGCAAATCTGAGGCGTCGGAGTGCTCTTATATTACAGCATATGTCACGTGCACTATAGAAAAAGAGCACTCCGACGCCTTAGTTGCGGGATTCTCTAAACGTTTTTTCGATAATTGTTGTTTTCGTTAACTAGCGACAGCCAATGAGAGCCACGCTTTCTTTTAGGATTGTCCTGCCATTGGCTGTCGCTAGTTAACGATAGCGACAATCATCGATAAAACGTTTGAGAATCCTGCAACAGATTTGCATTGCCGAACGCAGCTAATACATGAATATACATCGTTGACACAAAACGAGTCGTGCATCTATCTCGATGACATTTCAGTGGCATAAATATGTAAATACAGTATGGCCGAAAGAAGCGGAAACTTCTTTACTTTCCCGGATGGCATTTCGTTATGCGATTGAGAAAATTGTAACGTTTCGCTGTTCAATGTAATTTCGTGGACTTACGAATTGTCGGAACGAAATGTCGTAAACGGTGCTGCCGTGATCTTTCACAGCATATTTCGACTGGTTCGACAAGAATGTCACTCGGTCGCCACTGGTAAGAAAAAGAGATAGAGAAAGAGTGAGGGGGAAAGAAAGAGATGTTATGTTTATATCTCGGTGAAGTAGGAGGACACATTCGTGAGCTCTAAAATCCCGCGGGAGAATGGAATGCAACGAACGGAGACGTCAGTATATGTTTTAATGCAATGCCGCGGCAGGCCTACACCGCGTGCCCTGACATTCAGCTCGTCGACGATGTCAAAGCCATAGGCGCTGCCATGGACACAGACGTGGATCTCGGCAAGGGTGAAGGGTGCGAGACTATCCCGGGTTGCTCTGGCTACTCGAGCATGGTGCACAGTAAGAAAGTCATTAAGCATGCTTTACGACAGCAAGCCAAACGGCGCAGGAAGAACACTACGATAGCGGCGGGTAATTCCCGCACGTTGCCCAGGATCGTTGTCAAACCGCTACCGCCACCACCTCCAAATGATCCACCATCCCCAGTTAATAATGTGCAACACATCAACACCGGTAATCTCAAGCCCTTTGATACGTGTTATTTGTTCTATCTCTATTTCGCTTTTTGTTCATACAGGAGAAGTCAATGGAATTCGATGATTTCTAAATAGAGAACTTTAGTGATACAACGTGCAAAAAAGTATTTAATTTTACTTTTGACTTTATATAATTTACATATATTTATTTAGCTTTACAATTATGTGTTGTAAATTCTGACATTAATTTGTAACATGTATAATTTGACAGAATATTAACTCGTATCTAGCTATATATGTACTCAAGTCTCAGCAGACCTATTTTGTAATTCTTAAGGCAAATTTTATTATTATTATAAAGCTGCATTATAATGATAACAGAATTTGCATGAGTTATAGAATAGGTTTGTAGAAATCCCAATTCAATTTGCTAAATCAAGATATTTTGTGTTTTTAATTGTGATATGTTTACGAGAGACTCTGCAATGGATTTTTTAAGTAATGAGAAAACTTTAATTAATGTTTGACAATTTTATATTAATATAGCAGCGGAAGAACCTGCTGCCACAATGAGAGAAGTTTTGGCTAGTTTACCTGGATTTAGCTTGAAGTCAAGTCGTAGACGATCTACAAAGAGACTGTCTGCAACTGCGCAATTAGAAGCTGGTCTTGTGGATTTAGAATCTCCAGCGAGTATATTAGCAAGTACGAGCTTACGCGCGCTATTAAATAGGCATACATTTCAAGGCTTGCCTCCACTGTATCAACGGAAGCTTGCACAACTCTTACCTGCTGTAGATAGACAGGTACTAAACATAATTTCTCAATAATATGTACCAATAAATTATAGCTTTATATATTGATTTTAAAAAGTTAAAAAATTTTAAACTTTTTTTTATAAAGTTTAACTTATTGTATTTGATGAAATTTAATTTATGTTATTTTATCTTATTCCTAGGATGCTGCTATCTCTGGACTGAACAATGAATTTTTTGCGAGAGCTTGTTTGGAATGGCGAAAACGTTTAGCAGAAGGAGAATTCACTCCAGAAAATCAGCAACGCCTGAAGATGGAAGCAGAACGAGATAAAAACAAGCTAGATCCATGGAAAGTGAAACATTTTGAACCAATATGGGGAGAAAAGCGAGAGCCTAAACTTAAATCGAATCTCCACTATATTAATGATTCACGTTCTAGTGGTGCTGTAACACGGTCAAGTTTAAGACTTCGTTTGGAATCTAGCGTGGATATTCCTACTATGGATATTCCTACTGTGGATATTCCTGCTGTGGATATTCCTACCGTAGATATCCCTAATGTGGTTATTCCTAGCGTAGATATTCCTACATCGGAACATACTGTCTGTCCCATTGTAATGACAGAAGATAAAGTCGATACTGGCTGCAAGACCGAAATAAAGAATACTGATAATCTAGTTAATTCTGAAGAAATGCAACAAAATTTAATGTCCTTGGGTTATAATACATTGTCAGTGACTGATGAGAAACATTTAAATAACTCTGTGCAAGTAAATTCCATGGAAGTCACAGAAGATATTCAAATGCATGAAGATAAAATACAAGAAGCTGACAAGATTACAGATATTTGTGAGAAACAAGAGTTGGTTGAGGCTAGTGATATTGCGAGGCAATTATGTCAGGAAGTCATCTCAAATGTGTACGAGGAAGAAACAAATTTTTCCACCAGTGAGAAAAATTTACCAATTGTAGAAAATAATGTAATCGAAGCATCAGAAGAAGACACTGTGCTATTACCTGATGATAATTCATCGCCCAGATCAAGTGAACAGATAGAACGTGCATCACATACATCCGGAGAATCAATTTCGCAGCTATCCAGTGAATATATATCGCAAGCATCCATAGATCAAATTTCTCAGATGTCAAAAGAACAGATTTCACAAATATCTAACGATCAGATTTATCAAATATCGGATTGTGAAACCACGAGTATCCTTGAAAGTTCATCGCCACAGGATCAAGTTAGGCCTGCGGATATTGTTATAGAGGATACCAGTTTGATTAACAGTGATCAAACTGAAGTAACACAGACTTCCCATGAAAATACGGCAGACAGCGAATCACAAATTCCAGAAGGAATGGAAATTGATAGTGAAACTTTACAGCGTATTCATGAACTTGAGGTAAGAATTTTCATTTACTGCAGATGCCCTATTAAGAGATTGTAGATGTATTATTAGCACAATCTCGATAGATTGTAATGTTTATGAAAATAAAAATAAATTATTATAATTAATGAAAAAGAAAAAGGGCTACGAGCCAAAAAATTCGTTAAAATATAAAATTGTTCGTAAATAAAAATTGTTATTTGGTTAAAATTACGTTATAGTTTAGAAAAACAGATAACAGACGTTTCGACCTCTATTAGGTAATTTTCAATGTTACAAAGATTGCAGTTCAAAAATAATAGAGATCGAAACGTCTGTTATCTGTTTTTCTAATTAAACTACGTAATTTTAACCAAATGATAATTTTTATTTACAAACAATTTTATATTTTAACGAATTTTTTGGTTCTTAGCCCTTTTTCTTTTTTATTATTTTTAAATTTATTGAGCCTTATTACAAACATATTATTATAATATTGTCTCCGTTGTTAAAAATTTAATTATACCTTATAGGTACGAGGTGAAATGCGGGAAATGTATGAAGAAATTTCGGGATGTCCAGAAGAGATAATATATCCTATTCTTGAGGGAATGGAAATGGCTTCAACTAATTCAGAAGTAACCGAACCTCAAGTAACTGGACAAACTGAAGATGCTACGGGAACGGATGTAAACGTTGGTAACGAGGATGAAGCTTTGCGAGAGGCAAATAATTATGTCTGTTCTGAAATGTTAGAATGTAGTTGGACAGTGGATCCAACTGTTAATAATATCAATAATAATAACAGGGTAAGTATACATATAAATAATTTTTAATATAATCTTTATACCGTACAAATATATCAGTGATATCGCTAATCTAAAATATTTATATGAATTACATACAACACACTTGATTTTGTAATGAGTTGATACGCGTGTTATTTAAAAAAAAAAATTATTTCTTTTTAAGATAAAAATATTAATATAAAATTTAAATGCAAAATAAGTGAGTTGAGTTCGTGCAGTTAAAGTAAATTGAAATATTTAAAGACCAAGACAAAAAAAATTTAGTACGAATGAGAAGCACTAAACATACGACGATATTGATTCTTTCTCGATGCTAATTAAGAAAATATAATAATTAGAATATTACATATTTATATATTAAATAAAGTTGTAATACGCGAGGAATATTAGATTTTAAAGTTTAAAAAAAGAGATTAATATAAGTATGAAGAAAAATTAGTTTGATAAATTTTGTTTATTTTCTCAAATATCCAACATTAACAAATTTTACATTGACTTATATATTTTTCATTGCAAAGACGCAAGAAGAACTACAGGTACCTTGGCCTTTAGTGGCAGCTGCTCTCGATGGATCTGTAGCGGCTAATATCACGGTAACGACGCAAGATGAATGCAGCGAAACTTCCACTACGACCGATTCTACAACTTCTTCGCAACAGTTTATTAACGCGGATGCCAATGTGGAATCTGTTAACTGTATTCAATTACCAGTTGTTCAAGGAACCACATTTCAATCAGACTTAGCTATCAATACACCGGGCAACAATTGCGTTATGAAGAATTTACAGTCGCAAAGTCCGCCAATTATCGCGTTTCCACAATTGCAATCTATTAGATTTGTGCAAACGAATTTTAATTCGGAACAAGAGACATCTTCACTGGCAAATAATTCTACTATTTCGACCCAACTTCAGCCCCAACAGAATAACACTTCACAAGTTAACATGATACGAACGCAGGATCCCATTACTCAAATAAATACTCAAAATAATAGTGCACGTGGTAACGTGAATCAGAACACTATTGCGACGCAAGGTCAAGTACAAAATACTCTCCCTACGGTGGGAGTACAATCTCAGAATCGAGCACAAAATGCAATTGTTATTCAACATCAGACTGCTACTTCTGTTCAATCTCGACAAATTGCAGCTGTGCATCAACAACAGCAGCAGCAGCAGCAACAAACACAACAGCAGCAACAGACACAACAGCAGCAGCAGACACAACAACAATATCCTGGACCATCACTAACCGTTTCGTCACGACCTTCGCGTGTATCTAATCAAGGCAGCCAAAGAGGTTCTAGAAATAGTAATAAAGAACAAGGAAGTAGATCGAGAAGTTCCACCAAAGAGCCTCCGGGTGCTGTCAATTTGGAGCGCAGTTATCAGATATGTCAAGCGGTAAACTAATAACCAGTTTAGAGTTATATGTAAACGTAATAAAGATATGAATTTATCGAGTATGCAATGCGCAATTACATTGATAAATGTAGAAATACTATTATAGAAACAATATTATATAATACTGATATTATTTCAGGTCATACAAAGTTCACCAAATAGAGATCAACTGAAGGCCCATTTAAAACCACCGCCAAGTTTACTTGCTAGAGGAGATGGTGCATTTACAACCAGCAAATCTGGAGGTCGCACCTTGACGTCGGTTAAACCCCAAAAAACGCAGCAAACGATACAACATAATAAACAAACTCAAAATAAGACACAAGCAGTTATGCTGAGACATGTATTTGCAACGGCGCGTCAAGCTGCATCAACAGAGGTACATATATAGCATTTATTACATATATTAGTAACATAGCTATTTAGATACTTACTGTGCTATTTTCTGCACGTATTACTTGCCATATCAAGGGTAAAGTATGTTAATATATCAAATCTCTCTTTTTATGAATTTTTTTTTTAACATTTTTGCGTAAGACATAGAAAATTTTAATTCTTGATACGATGTACTTATAATAAATGAGACCTGATGAAATTCTAGTAAAATTTTACAAGAACAAATTAAGGAAATACATCACAGTAAATAACTATAAAAAAATACATTACTATAAATATATCTCTTATTTGAGTTTATATCCTTTAATATTTCTTTTATTATATGAAATGTATATATTGAACATTTTAACGTACACGCATACTATTTTATGTGTCCTTTTTTGTGTGTACAGTGCTAATCTCGCGGGTCTCTTGTGATGATCTCGGTATCATACAGGTACCTAAATAAACAAATCTTTACATTAGTTTTGGGTTTTTAAACGCAGTAGAGATAGTGCGACTATTATTATCAAATGCAATGACGCAACAAAGATTTTGTACATTACTACAAAAATTGATTTATACAAATCTGACAACAAAGATGATGAACAAACGTATTTACGCAAACAGATTTAGAATGCTAATTGAAATATTATTCGTTTAATGTATTTCTACTGTCGCGGTTAAAAGTAGCTTGAACGTGCAATATACCAGTTCAAGTTGCATAAAAGATTTGTAGTGATTTCGTTAATTAAATTTTTAATGCCTTGTAGGTTACAGAAAGCACTCCTATAGCGCAGCTTGGTTCCACCACCAGTAACGGTCTCGGGCAATATATACTTGTACAAAGGACAGGAGTTGGAGACAGTGCACCGAGAGCATCATCCGCACCTCCATTACCGCCGCAGATCGCAGGAATGGGCGTTGGGGTTCATTTAGTGCGAGGAAGACCAGCCAGCGCCGGGGAGGGTTCCCATCAGGCTGTCACCTTGAAAGCGAGAGGCGCGGACAGCAGAGTGACAGGCGGAGCGGAACCTGGTGCACCCGGCATGATAATCGGCGGCGATCCGCCACCTCCGTGTGAATGTAATATGCGAGGAGCCATGGTAATTTGTCGGCAGTGTGGTGCCTTCTGCCACGATGATTGTATCGGGCCTCAACGTATCTGTGCTACCTGCCTCATACGTTAATTCATCTTTAACTGTTTGTGTAAAAATTAAATCCGTTATAAGAGTGCTGAGCATTCAAGTTGATAAACTAAAAAATACGAAAATGCCAAACATGTTATCATATGAATTTATATATGTACATACACACAGAGATATACATATATAATATGTATATACAGGGTGTCCCAAAATGTTCAGAAGTCCTTTTGCTAGCAGATTCTATGGAATATTCTAAGATAAAAACCTATACAAACATGTCCAGGCTATAATACACTACTCAACAAAATTAAAGGATCACTTGTTCCACCCTGCAAAAATAGGCAAATTTTGAGATAGAATAACTTCATCAAAAATCATCGTATCGAGATGTTTAAAAAAACATTTTAAAGCTTTTATTTATGTTTGCGTAACTTTATGAAATATCAATAACATCATTTTTTGGAATACCGGTCTGAAAAGTAGAGATTTCAAGCTTTAAAATGCTTTTTTAAACATATCGATACGATGATTTTTGACGAAGTTATTATATCTCAAAGTTTGCCTATTTTTGCAGGGTGGAACAAGTGATTCTTTAATTTTGTTGAGTAGTGTAGTTTTTAAATTATAATACGATTAAAATTGATCAATTGAGCATCTGAAAATCGCGCGCTCAGGGGCGAACATTGTGCTGGGCGATTGTGTACATTGACTTTATTTATTTGTAGGAAAACTACATTATCATTATAGTTTTTCTAATCATTTAATTTCTTCTAGTTTAGCATAAAAGTATGAAAAATTAATTTACTATTTGACATAATTTATTTTACAATTTTATCAGTTCGAGTGTGTAATGATTGATATTCCATAATAAAAGGCTGACGTTAACCCTACGTATAATTTAAACAATTACATATGAAACTTAAAAGTATACTTTATTATTATATGTAAAATTGAAGCGCTTACCGCATAAGTGCTTAACTGTTAAAATTTAGTTTCCTTTTATAAAACGTTAATAACTTGTAAAACTATTAAGACTCCTGAGTATTCAACCAAGAACTCTGCATTGATGGTGTCGGCACCGAATTAGTCGGCAGCCTGGCGAAACCGGTAGTCATAAGCACAAACCCATGTCCATGCGCTCACTTTCGGGCTTTTCGACATATGAGCATGTGCTTGTATATGTGTTACATTACCTCGCCACGATAAAGATCTGAACTAATAGAAAAATGACGTATTAATGACGAAATTTTGTCTTGCATGCCGTTTTGTTATTATGTGCTTGATTGTGAAACTGTGACTTGTCTCATACCTATAAAAGTCATAAAAATATGTAAAGACTTAAGTTATCTTACAATTTTATATGTAAAAGCATATTTTTTCGTTATTTTTATCAGCTGTCAAATCGTGTGATTTTTGTCTGACTAAGCCTTAGACACCCTGTATAGAGGATAAACAGAATAATATAAACACCTAAGAAATACGTTGTTTATTAATAAGAGGTTGGCCTATCATTTGCTTTTAATACACATTGTATCCTTTTAAAATAAAGTCAGACAATGTTTGAATAGTTACCAATATAGAATGTAATCTTTTAATAGAAAATCTTTCAATTGCTTATATAAATATTAGAAGAGGATTTGTTTCTTACCATTTTTCAAAATTATCTCTTCTAAAACTTTATATCTTTTCCAAGTAATCTCTTCATTTGTATATCACGAATCATTTGTAATTTTTTTCTATTTGAACAATAAAATGAAAACCAGATTTTCTCCATTAATATTCTTTAAGCAATTAAAAAATATTTTAAAAGAACAGTATAACATTGTATTGTAGCAATTGCTATCCTATTTAAACATAACTCTATTTTAACAAAGATAGAATCTAAGACACATGATAGATCAACATCTTATTAATAAAATAAGTACTTCCTCAATGTTTACGTTATTTTGTTTATTCCCTGTATGTATGTATACAGACACACACACACACACACGCACGCGCGCACACACACACACACACACACACACATTTACATACACACAATGCAATGTACTATAAAGTTACCACAAGGTAATTAAAAAGTTTGAATCTACATAACATTTCTGTAATTATCTACTGAATACCGCGATCAACGTTTGATAGTGTGTTATATTTTATATGAGTAGTATTGCATTATAATTTTTTTATCTAATTTTATTTATTAATATTGTTTATGAATAAATATACTCTGAAATTTAAGTAGTATATAGTTATACCATACATTAATACGAGCGTCAAGTTTATTTTATCTGTTCAGTCAAACGAATGAATACATTTTCTCAGTTGCCAAAATAATTTATTTCAATCTCTATTGGGATCAAGACTAAAACATAATAAAAGATAGATCTAATTTGTAAGCTCTTATATATCTAAAATATGATTTTTTATTTTCTTAATGTATTGTATATTTAAATAAAAATTAGATTTTATCTCGTATTGTCAATAATTTTAGATAATTAGCTTACAAGTTAACTTGAGCCAATTTTCTTCATAAGAAGTATGAAAATTTATATTATAAACTGAAAAATACATAAATTTTATAAATTTTTTTATTCTTTTCCTAAGATTTTAAAATTCTCTATTGTTTTGGATTATTATATATTTTGTGTAAATAATGATTTTATTTTTTCTTGTAAAGATTATTTGTATTATATATTAGAAGTGCTCATATGTTAGAAATACCTTGTGAATTTTAGTATTTCAAAGTATAAGATAGTAAAACTAATTTTGACAGTTTGTATAGTAAAAATTTATACTATAGTGTACTCGTAAAATTATTTAATTTGAAAATTATAAAATATTGCCCAGCACTCTTATGTAAATGGAAGTCTTTGTAGATTAAGGGTAATAAAGGATACAGTTGTGAGTATTGCAAGATTCAACACCGCTACATTATACATCAGATAAAAAATATCAGATAAAAAAATAATTACGGATCATCTTATTCTGTTATTTTGTCTATTAGTTTTTGATTTTTTTTATTACAATTGATAAATATTTATAATGAATTGCTAATATTCAAAATAAAATTAATAGACTTTTATACATTTTATATACGAAATTATATTAAGACAGTTAGTTTGTATTATAAGCGTAATAACATTATACTTGCGTAATTATTTGGAATTGATACATGAAAAGATTAATTGTTGAATAATTAATTGGAATTTTATTACTTTTTTGACAGTGTTTTAAATGCTTCATTATTGTGTTAATTTACATATTATCAATATTTTTGCTATACATTTTTATTAAAATATGCAAACAAAAAATTTTTAACATTCAATATTCGACGAATGGATATATACTAAAAAGTCCTGTGAAGATCCTTTGCGCAGTGTTTGTTTTTTTTAAATCATCAAACTCTAGTCTGTACTATACATATAACTATATATCCTTTCTACGCTTATTTATTATGCTATTTATTGATGGTAATTTTTTTTATAGTTTTTGTATTTTTTGTTATATAACCATTACCATTTTATATGCATAATTATTATGGAAAATATTATTTCATTCATAGTCATCTTATTTATTGATAATATCATTTTCATTTATTAATGCGATGTAATAATGTTAATTTTAACTTTTAATTCCAATATTTCAACTGTATTCTTGAGACCCTTGCTTCTAAAAAGTTTAAAACAAAAAGATTAATCTCTTATATCGACCCTTAATACAGTCTTCCACTAAACATCACACTCTATAATATGTATGTTTGTTATTTATTTATTAACACACGAATTTATTTTTATTATAGCTGCGTAGAAGATATTCCTGTACATGTTGATCTCGAAACTAAACGACGAATCCTTTGTACATGCTCTCTTTTAATCATTCCTTTGGAATATATATAGGATGATCTACTGAACTCTTCAAGTTTCAATATAGCTCAGACTATATACCTTTTGCACATGTATTAGTACATGTTGTATGTCGAATTAATATTGTCGGACATTGTGTACAGGAGCAGTAATATATCATGAGAATGAATAATTGATTAAGATTAACGATTTATTGCAAATAATAAGAGAAATAATTGAATATTCATAGTTCTAATATAGATATACATATGTAGCTTGCATTGTTCGATTTTATCTCCCACTTTGTTACGATTAATTCTCTAATGTTGTTAGTTATACCGAGGAATGATTTATTGAGAAATTGCGAAGAATATGATCATTAACATAATTTTATCTATGCTCTGTAGTATATCTAGAAATATTCTGTGCAGTACAAATAATGCAGTAATGATCCTTTTAGGATCTTTTGAAAATATCGTTTTTGACAGTCTTAGGATGATCTTAGTATCTTGGACTCCTAACTTGAATTGAAATATATATATATTGTATTCAATGCTATAACTGTACACCTGAATGTTGCTGATAGATGCCGATAATGCACATCATAGTCAACTTTAATTGTACTCCTTTTTTCTCTTTATCTTTCTTCTAATATGTATAAGATACATTTATTCCTTATGTCAGATTAATACAAATTGATCAGCAACTGGATATTATTTGCGAGCATCATTATCCGTAACTAAGTATGTATAAATTCAGATATTGTATAGTTAAGAAAAGTGGCAGCTATTCCAGTGTTAAGATCAAAAAATATACATCGTAAATAATTCTAGAACCATGTAAGAAAAAAGTAATTTATACAGTGAAATAAATTTAAAATGCAAGTACATAATAAAATTATCTTATTGCATTTGCTTTAAATTGTTTTTAAAAATTTAATTTGAGGTTTTAACAAAGTTAGGATTTGTAATACTGGAAATTTGAACTGATGATTTATTAAATTTTCTAGCAAATTTTTTGGAGTGGCGCATTTTAATAGTGGATAAAAAATAACAAAATTAATAAAAAAGTGATATTTTTTGTCCGAAATACTTTCAACAAAATGAAAAAATTATTGTATTCTTCCATTTTGTCGAAAATATAGCATACTATGTATAGTACATAACTTATATATAGTAATTTGTAATGATTGATTACCAAAATGCTAGTTTAGTGTAAACATTGTGCATAAAATTCTGATGAATTCTCAGTATTTTATTTTATTCATAAGGGTTAATATATTGCAACTTTTAACCAGCACTCATCTTTTACCGAGTTAATTTCTGTGCTAGTGGATATATACAAAAATCTAAATGTATAGTATTTTGTGTTATTAGAAAATCATTTACTATAGAAATAAAGAAAGTCCGAGACAATAGAAAATGTGAAGACTGGGATTGATGAGATCATGGTGTGCAGTTGCAGCATTATAATACGTTTTATGTACATTATATTCATTGTATTCATTCTATCTCATCTTCCTCTCTATGTACATACAATCAAGCCCTCACTTGTCATTGTTACGATCACAGACTTCTATAAATCTTATTTCTAGAAATCTGTGATTACGATCGTATAAGGATTTTAAATAATTAAAGAATTTTGAGGCAATAATATGCTAAATTGCAATGTAAAGACGTATCAGAGTTTAAGCTCTATAATTATTTGCTTTATCCGTATATTGCAAATTAAATCAATTATATGTATTTTTGTTGAAAAAAAAACAGTATACAAAGGAATAGATCTGATAAATCTTTTTCTGTTATAGTTTTTGTAAAATTCATTTTGTATAATTTATCATGTTATCGCCCCGGTTCGTTAACTTAACAAAGTTAAGAAATACGCATTGCATTGTGTCATACTTCTCTTAAATATTTTTAATTATATTACGTATCGATATTGATTATCTGTCATGACGTTGTGATTATGACGTTTATTTTTTATCAATAATGATAGCAACTAGTATTACTGCAATTCGATAGAAGTTACTCTGTATCCGTCGCTCAAATGTAAATAAAGTAACATACGTTTAATATGGGGAAGTTGTTTAATGTGCAAGTATATCACAATTAAAGAACGTTCGATACATACATTTTTAAATACTTTTGCAATTACGCATCACATACACAATTAAATTGTGGGTTGATGAAGTAATATCTGTTTAATGTGAGAAGTTGTTTAATATGCAAATGTACATTATAATTACAAGGCATTCGATGCGTATTTTGAATAAATATTACAGCAGCTGCGAGAAAGGCATTATCTATATACTATCAAGATACTTTATAATGTAATACAATTGGCGCCATAATGTTAACTAATATTAGGGAGATATAACTTATTACGTTTATTACTATATGAATATATAGGAATAACCAATTATACATATGTACAGACTTACACTGGGTGTGTAACTATATCATAACATATAAACGGACTGAATTATATATATATATGCGATTTAAATAAGAAAAAAAATTATTGCTCATAAATATTATTTGATTTTCTTACGAACTTTCGGTACATAGTATAAGTAAATAAATTATGAGTCAAGTTATATATCGCGATGTATGGCATTTTACTTACGCAGCCAATTAAACAAATTTTATAACAAACCATTTCGATAAATTGTATTGTTTATATATAGTAGATATGAGTAGATAATTATATATATGTATATATATATATAGAAAATTATTTATTTTAATATCTTCACAACCATTTTTAGTATGCAGCATTCTATTACCCACCGCTGCGTTTTGTTGCTGAAAATCGCTTGCTTATCTTGTTTATTCTAATTAGAAAACAAATTTACCTTTCTCCGCAGGAGTTCTATATTTTAAAATAAAACAATAAAATTAAAAGAGAATAATGTTGGAAGACAGTGCGATAAACAATGTGCTGTCCTACAATAAAAACCTTTAATATGATTCAATGAGTCAACGACATTAATAATTAATGTTTCAAAAATTAATAAATCGCACAAATTCGGTTTGTTAACTTTTATGACTGTAGTTGTCAATATCGTTAACTTATTATGTTATTAAAGAATTTTTTGATTATACGACCGTGTACCGTTTATCTCGCTGACTTCCAATCTTTCTTTTAATTTAATTATTATTTTGAATTATCGTAAACTTTTATTATTATGTTTGCATTATATCTAATATTTTATTTATGTATTTTTTGCTTGCATGTACACGTAGGTCCATACATTCACAGCTCCGTAAATCCACAATTCGCGGATTTCAATAGGCATAGAAAAATATTTTTCGCTCGATTTTTCAGAACAGCATCGAATTATAATTATCGTATAGTTTTAATATAATATACTAACATTAACATGTTGAATGATTGAATTAAAAGTGTAGATTAATTTTGAACCGAGCTCATCACTCAAATGTGTACATTAATGTAGCATACAAGGAATGACAATTATTTCGTGCTAATGAGGCTACTAGTTAAAAGATTACAAAATAATGTACAAATGTACATTATTTTGACATATATGTCAAGTTTTTATTTTACATAATAAAATGAACATGACAAGCTCAATTGCTGTAAAAATATTAAGAATTGGAAATTAAATATTTATTAAAAATTTATTAAATAAAATCTAATACCTACTTACATTAAAAAAATATCTAAGTAATTACATTATTTTGAGTGGAGAGTCTATATTAAAAAATATTAAGTTTTGTCTATACCTTATCAATTACGAAACACATACCGGACTATCAGAATAGGGACAAAATCAACATAAAGATAACTTTCCCTTTTTGATCGAATAAACATGACATCTAAAAGTTATCTGATGAATATCTCCAAACGAATATTTCTAAGAACTTTTCGTATATTTATGATGTCATTTAAATCTTTTAGTTGTCTAAAAAAAGATTGCTTAAAATAGACCAATTGTGTCCTATTCTTAACTTTTCTTTCTCAATCGCTCTAACATTATTCACATACATTAAAAAATATTATTACGTTGCACTCTCTCCCTACATTGGAAAAATCCTAATTATGTTACGCTCCCTTTCTCTCTAAAACAATTTAATTTAATAATGTACAATTTGCGTATGATATATTGATACGCGGATGCAAGGCGAGATATTGAAGAAGTAAAAGCTCTCTTCTGAAATTGCAAAAGTATTAATCGAAACATACAATTTTTCATTTAAAACTTTGCATACAGATGATGTATGCGCATATAGTTCAGTATCTATTACAATTTAACTTCTCACAGTTAGACTTAAAAAATTTAAATTATCCGTTACAGAGTTAACTTGTTAAATACCATCTTTCGCTGAGTCATTCGCATGCAAAGTATTAAGATGTTAACAATCCACTGAGCACATTCACCGTTTAACTGTACGAAAGAAGAACAGTAGAAAAATAAGAAGAAAAGCGTAGAGACAAGACACATCGATAGAGCACAAGTAACGATATGAAAAGCGTCGCGCTAGTATATTACCTTAATTATAATGATCGTTACAAACATCTCTACAAGTACACCTGGAGGAAAGTCGATAGGCTTACTTTGGAAATGTTTGCAAAGTTTTAGGATTGTTTCGACGTCCGAAATCGTCGTTGCGAATTATCACTGAACATCTTGTCGCAAGATTATCTCAAGAAACATCGAGAAGGAAAAATTTATTCAACGGCATCTTCGGCTTTCTGTTGGATCGAATTCTTTTGAAAAAATTACTTCTTATTTAAATGTGAATTTTATAGACAATGGAATAAATTAATATATTTAATCAACTTTCTCTCTCTCTCTCGAATTTCAATGAGAATTATATCGATATTAAATTTAGTGATAATTAACAACAACGAATAAAATATTCATTTCTTAGATTAGGAATCGACAAGAAATGTTCGGTCAAGACATCGAGTATATCTTTGTATATTATACCAGTCGATTTAAAATTATCTAAGTACTATTTATATTGAAAATTTATTATTCAATATTTGATACTTTTTTTATTTGTTTACTTCAACGTGAAAATGTTTTTTTTTTTTTTTGATAAAATATTAAAACAGGAATGGTTTTGAGACGTATTCATCTATGGCATTATTCGTAATAGTCCTCGTAATAATTGAGCAAGTTTACTTCCTGTTATTGTCTTGATTGAACTTTCCTAGCGTTTTGTCGACTTCCATGTTGCCATTGTATGCACTTTCAACAGGAAACACGATATTAATTAATAACTATCTCAATCCTGACATTTGTTCTCAGGTTGATTGAAAATTTGATGTATATTATCCTTTTCCATTCTAATGTTATCCGGCTGCGCTTCTGGTACTATTTCTTAGTAAAGATTGTAACTGTTGAGCTGCACCCTAAAAGCCAAAATAAAAATGTTAATGACTAATACAATGAAATGATCTTTTTAAACAATTAATTTAATATGTACAGCATACAAATTTTAAATGATAGTAACTTAAGAATATAGAAGATAAAGAGTGTTTAAAAAATTTTAATTATTTTCATAATTTATTTTTAATTTTAATTTACTATCTAGATAATTACTTTTAAATAATATTTCTTTGTGAAATAACTTTCGAATCTACGTATAGGCTCTTTGCAGAACGTTATTCGTATATTTATCTTCGTTATATACAGAATGAAGTAGAATAAATTTTTAACTTTCATTAATTTTTCTTATTAGTTAAAAAGGTAAATTTTCATGAAAAAAATGATGTTTACCGAAATGGCAGCGCCAAGGAATCTACCTATGGCTCTAGTAGCGGTAACCAGCCCGCTACCCGATCCACTTCCTCCGAAGAGAGGAGGCGGGTACGTTGAACTTGGAGCCCACGTCGTAGTTTGTAAATTCTCTGTTGGTCTCGCAGATGGTCTCGATGTCACTACTTTCTTCGTTGTGCTGATCGGTTTATTGGTTGTTGGTCGAGTCGTGGTCGAGGTTGCATCCGGCATAAGCAGACCTTGACTCTAATTGGAAAAAAAAATATATATATATGTATATCGATATGATCTAATAAATATTAACGCAGAATTTCAGAGAATCGTGAAAGAAATACTACTCACTGATAATTGTAATTGTTCCCTAAGTTTCGTTGCTGGTGTTGTGGGTTCTATTCCTTGTTGTTTCAAGAGTAGAGCCAACAAAGCAGCAGGATTCACTTCAGTAGATGACGATGTTGTGGTAGAAATGCTAGCCTGATTATTTAAAATCGCTCTCAAAAAGGCTTCATCATCCTCAGTTAATCGTGATGTTGCCGAAGTACTCGTTTTCGTTTCTGCTATATAAGACATTATTTATTAGTTAATAAAAACGGATTAATAAAAACTAATAATTGGAATCCGAAATCAAAATCAGCGGCTTAGGGAAATGTAGAAATTGATCTTGGACTTTATAAAATGATTCTTCTATTTTTGACTTCGCTGAATTCACAATTTTAAATTTGTGATTAATCTGTTTTTTAAATCTAACTATAAAAATCTTTACTAACTATATAAAAATTGATTATTATTCTATATTTGCAATCTTGCCTTATTATTTTTACAGTCAGTAAAATATATAGTTACAGAACAATTCGATAATTTCGAAAGTATAAAGAGACACACTTTTAGATAATTAATGCTTGATTAATAGAATATCTCATTTTGTATTTTCATTTTTAATTAAGTAAGTACAGTTGTATAATTAAGTATATATTTTATTAAAACATTTTGTTAAAAAAGAATAAAAGATAGAAACAATTTACCTGTTTGTACTGCTTGCAGAAGCGCAGCTAAGAATTTCGCGTCGTCCTCGGGTGAATACGTGGATGTAGAGACGTCTCTTACTCTAGGATTCGGATTATTTAAGAGCGTGGTTGAAATCGTACTTGGCGTTGACGCGGAAATAATATTATCCGCGAGCGATGTGCTCGAAGCCACATGGATATCCGAAATATCTATGTTTCTTGGCGTCGTTGGTGGTTTAATCGTGGTTATTACGTGATTCGTAAGAGTCGACTTGTTGATCTGCGCTGATGCTTGAGTGGTACTGGCAGGTTTTTGAGTTATTGTCTTAACCGTGGGTTTCTTTTTTGCAACGCTTGCTGCAGTGGTCGTGTCGAAAAAGTTGTTACCAAACAACGCTCGCCATAAACCCGCACCAAATCCTACGGATGGTTGAGGGGTGGTAGCTTTGGGTCTGGCTGTTGACGTCTTAGGCTTGGCAGTGATAACGACTGGTGCTTTAGTCGTAATACTCGGTGCGGTGTTAGCTTTTGTAATTGTGATTGTTTCAGTGTACTTTTTCGTAGGTGACATGCTGCTGGATATGCTTGGCGTAGGTGATGCAAGTGGTAGCAAGTCGATTATTATTGGTTCGGAAGACAATCCGAATGACGGACTCTTTGATGGGCTTTTGATTGCATTCACATTCGTATTCAAATTCGAGGTTTGAATCGCTTTTGGCGATCGCGTTGGTCCAGGATTAGCCAATGCAAGCGATAAAATCTAAGATAAATATAAGGATATTAGCTGAAAGAGTTATTATAAGACATGAATGTATTACAGAATTATTTTAAAATATAAATATATAAAAATATATGAATAAATAAATATAAATAAAGAGAAAAAAATCCTGTTTTTAGTCAAAACGAATTTTCGTATTTAATAATATAAATGTAAAATTTTAAATATACATATTTTTCAATTCTGTGTAAAGTGCGCTTCAATTCGGATTTAAAATATGATATTAGTCAAAACTTAATATTTTGCTCATTTGATGTATTAATTTGAAAGATAATTACTGTGCTCATGAGAGATATTATAATATTTTCTTTTTGCACTCATGCTTATTATAAATGTCAATGTTTATTTTACTTACCCTATTTGCTAATAATTGCTCTATGTCAGTTAACGTTTTCGGCGTAGTAGACTTAACATTGTTGTTATTTTGTAACTATAAAAGATAAACAATTTTTTTTGTAACATTAATTTATACAGTTTACTATATTACACAAGTATTTTACAATATTTGTCGATATTTAAAGGCATAAAGTAATTTAGGTAACAACCTAACATCGTTTATCGCTATTTTATTAAAATGACGACAAAACGTCTGCTTCCTATTTAAAAACATTAAAAGATCTCTAATATAAATTGAAAACAAATGAAATTTACCAATGAATTCAGGAAAGCCAAATCTCCGTACGTACTACCGAAGGGATTCTCCACCGTATTCGCTTGTAATCTGTTTAATATGTTATTCGTTGGTATTGTCGATGTAGTAGATGACGGTGGAATAGGTGGAACTGCTCCTATTCTTGCTGTTGTATATGATATAGTGTAAGTATATAAAAGAAATTTATGAAAAAAGCGACTTTTGCTAGCTCCGTAGTGAAAAAATTTCACAGAAATTATTTCACGTTTTGACACATTTCAGTGAAGTTACTGAAAACTTATTAGAACTTTACTGAAGTTTTGTTAATTTTCTCTGAAATTTTATTTATAAAAAAAAACGTTGAAAATAATAAATTTTTTATATAAAAATTGCTAAAATTAAATTAAAATTTTATTGAAAAGTGCTCCAAAACATAGAATAATTTCCACCTACAGAAAAATTTTTTACCTGTAAGGGAGAAATTAATATAGTAAATACCTGGTGTTGTTATTGTTTGACTTGTGGTCGTTGCAGGGGTTGTTGAAGTAGTAGTAGTTGTTGTGGTAGTTGTAGTGGTGGTAGTAGTAGTAGCGGTTGTTGGTGCCGGTGTGGTAGTAGTACTAGTAGTAGTACTAGTAGTAGTAGGAGTCGTGGTGCTGGTAGTTGTAGTAGGAGTGGTAGTACTGACAATAGTAGTAGGTGTAGTAGTGCCAGCAGTAGTCGTAGTTGTGGATGGCGATGTTACTGCAGTGCTCACGATTGGTGTGAAAACTTCCACCATGGAATTTACTCGCGACACAATCGGTGCATTGTTTTCGGTCGGCTCGTCCTAAAGAGAATATATATTTATAAATAAAAAAATATAACGAAATGAATAGAAAGTGTAGCAAATATTTAAACGTTAATCACACTATCCTGCATTTTTTAAAAATAAATATAAAAAATTTTGAATTTTATACATTTTAACAATATCTGTGTTTTATTTTTTAAAAATATCATTTGTCATTCATGTAATACGCACTAGTTGATTTGATGCCACAGATGCTGTTTGTATAGGTGAGTTGGTAGTGATACCGAATATCTGATCGAGCGGGTCTCTCCAAGGAAAACCGGGAGGTGCTGTTATTACATTACCACCCGATTGATTGTTCAGTAAATTTTCAAAAGACGGGTTCAACGCTGTAGATGATGACGTACCTTCGTTCACAGAAGTCTAACAATAAATTTGTAGTGACTTGGTAATTCTATTTCTCAAACATATTTTATATTTCTATATATCGACTATCTGCAGTAGCTATATATTGTTCATATATATTTTTGACAATATTTATTATCTACATTAACAATTATTAACAATATTTACTGTATTAAAAATTATTGCTAAATTATTAAAAAGTACGATACTCATATCTTTAGCAACAGACTATAGTCAATGTACGACATAAGATACTCTTCTACAGTAAGCAATAAAGACAAGCGTGAGTATTTAAATTGTTAATAAACAGAAGCAAGAAGTATATTAATACATATATATACATATATAAAGAAATCTAACATTAAAAAATATCATTTCAGAAATTATCATTTGATTACTTACGGCCACTGAATTTATTCTTACATCAACGACTTTTGGATTGACATCAGGTGCACCGTCAATCTGGTAATTAATAAATTTATCCTGAAATATATTTATGATTGCGCTTTCAAGTGTTTTCTCTTTTAGTAAATAATTACATAATGTGTGTGTGATTTTGTTTACTACCTGTCCGATATATACAGCGCTGTTTTGATCAGAAGTCACTCTTGTCCGAGAAGCTTCATTTCTTTCGCGATCCTGAGTGATCCTTGGAGGGCCTTGTACTTGATTGCTATTTGGCCTCTGATTACCGAGTGAGTTCGGCAACGTACCCATTTGAGAATTTAATAAAATGTCGCTCTGAAATATTTACATGCCGCATTTAATAATATTGCCAAAAAACTTTAATAATGAATAGAAATAGAGCTCATAAACTTGCAATATTTTTTAATAATGAAAGGATCAAGATTGGTGCAACCGTGTCATTTGTCACGAAATAAAAACATAAAATTTTTATGCCCTTTAATACTTTTTAGTAGATATTTTCATAATACCTTCAATCCTTTTAGTTTTTAAAAAATATCATGAAATTTCATTTTATTTAAATACCTAGTTATATAAATTTATAATTATATAATAAAAATTTTGAATGTATTTTGCTATTTGTAAGAACATTTAAGAAATATTATTTTTAATAAATTTATCTGAGATTAAGAATTTATAATAAGGTCACTTAAAATAGTAAAAATGTATATTCATCTACGTAGTTCATTTTAACATAAAATATTTGAACACAGTTCTAATAAAAAAATTTTAGGAAAATAATAAAAATAGTTTCTTTTTAACCATGGTATAACATATGTCGTGCTCGTTAGATGACATAATCTGCAAAATAATAAATCTTTATAAAATATTTTTTGTATTATGAAATATATCAAATACTTAATACAAGCGGAATAATCTGGTGGTGTATGATATATCTAACAAAAGGTACAGTGCGTGAAAAAATTTTAAATGTGCAAATGGGCGAACAAAAGTGCTATAAATTGTCACAACTATTTACAAATTTACAATGATACTCTGTGTACAGCCGTTGTACAGCATTCGATATTTTTGACCTGGAAAAAAGTATTAAATTGCATTTCATTAAAATTACGAAAATGTAAAGCATCTATATTATGAGAAGAAAGTCTGTCAAAAGAAAAGCTATAAAGACAAGTTATAAAGTTATGCCAAGAAACTGAATTGTTAATCTATCAATATTACATAATAATTATCCAGCGAGAGAAAAAGAGTGTGTTATGAAACTTTACTTTACATTCAATAGAAATAAAAAGAATTAGAAATGCTGGCCGTTACATGAATATCCGCATTTCGCTAAGCATGAGATTATCTGCTTTCTTATGAATGTTATACTTAAGATATAATTTTGAAAAATTTCACTCTATAACTGAGAATTGAATGAATATTTGTATTCTATAAAATATATGTGTACTAAAATAACGACAGTTTTTTTTAAATTAAAAATAATTTGTAATTTTTTAAAAGTATAAAAACTGTATAGATAAAGTTTAAATAGTTATTCTAATAAAATTCTGATTTCTATTAACGTTAAAGTTCAAGTTACTTTCGCGTATAGCAACGATTTCTAAATATCTAAAGAGCCAGGAAACGCGACTCGTTTCTCAATCGCGATTTGATTCTTGATCAAATTCGTTGCACGTATAAAGTACGATTTTGATGAAAAGATGAGATAAAGATACCATTTTGTTTGTGCTTGGGACGCTAGCAGGGGGACCAAATGGTCCCGTGAAATTGGGGCCTCCAGGGGTAACGCCGATCGCATTACCAATGAGTCCAAAATCAAGGGATCCGGGGCTCTGGGCGCCTCTCGTCGGGTCATCCACGGGTCTACCATTACTATACACCGGGGCTTGATACTGGTTGTTATAAACGCCTGCTTGGTTAGCCTGGTTATAATATGGCCAGGGTGCTGGTCGGTTAGTAGTAGTGGTAGTTCTAAGCGTGAACACAACCTCGACCGGGTTCGTGGGTGAATCCGGTATTATCGTCCCGTTGGGAAACTTCCGAACCAGTCTGCCGTCCGGATAGATGCCGAATATCACGTACGGGCTGTCTACGTTTCTGCCGTCGATCACATTGTCCTCTGGCCGCTTCCGCACAATGGTCTTGTTGGGATAAATACCATAAATCAAGTAGTCACGAACAGGAGCATTGGAGGAGCTGGGTCTTGGGAGTGGAGTCATTTGGCTGCCGTTGAAACGTCCCAGATATGGTGTCGGAAATGATGATACTCGATTTAGCATAGTAGTCCGTGCGGTACTCGACATGGTTGTTGTGGTTGATGTATTTGTGCCATTTGTGGGTGGTGCGGCACTTGTTGTGGTTGTTGTTGTAGTCGTCGTTCCTTCTCCGTCATTTATCCTCGATATCGTGTTCAGATCTTCTGATTCGGTCGGGATGACCGTTGTACCTCGCGTAGTCGAGGCATCAGTCGTCTCGGTGGAGACAAGATTATCGTTTATGTCGGCAGTCATAGTGGTCATTTCGGTTGTCGATCCGACAGTGGTAGATAATGCTTCTGTTGATGTCGTTCGGAAAGTTGTTGTCGATGTCGTCGTCGTGGTCTCCGTTGTTGTCGTGGTTGCTACAGTAGACTGGACTGATGAGGACGGGATGGTTGATGCATCGGTAGAGGATATGGGAAATGTGGTGGAATCGGTTGTTGATGCGGTTGAAGATGATGTGATGGTAGGAACGGTGGTGGTGGTAGTGATGATGGTTTCGGTCGTTTGCTCGGGTTGAATGATTCTCGAACCAGCCGTCCCTTGGGCGGTTGTTGTTGACGTTGTATCCTGTAAACGGGCAATAAGATTTGGCATCTCGCTTACGAGATTGGTTAGCGTTTGAGGGGCGTTTGTTGTTATGTCGTTGAGTTGATTAGTGGTAGTGTCGGTGAAGCTTACTAAATTACGAACTGATTCCGTAATGGGAGGTTCTGTATCAAATGGCTGGGTATCGCTCGTATCGGATACCATTGAAAGTGTTGTAGTGATATCCGATGTATTTGCTATGAGGGATTGGTCGTTTGTAACCTGTAGGTCAGATGCAGGCACTATCGTGGTGGGTATCGGTGTTTGATTAGTGGTATCTACGGCGTTCGTTTGCACAACGTTTATTTCCGTCACAGCTACACTAGTGGTTAATTCCGTTACCATGTTCGTCGTCGTGGACTCGTTTACGTCAGATGTGGACAGCAGTCCCTCTGTACTCGCGGTAACAGAGCTTGCTAAGGGATTATTAGTAGTGAATAATAACCGATTCAACAACTGGGTCTCGTTACTCGAAACTGTCGTAATAGTTTGTTGTTCAGTATTGTTACTGGATGATTCAATCGGATTAGATAATTGTGAGTCAGGCATATTAGTAATTAGTTCAGAACTCATGCTGGCCGTAACCGTAGTGATGTTTGATGTTCCGGTCTTCATCTGCGAAAGGGGTATTGTGGTAACATCATCTACATCGGTGGGTCGCGCGTTAGATTCCACTAAAAAAATATTCGATCCTACAACAGGGCCGCGGGTCGAATTATCTCCTCTTTCATTTTCGAATAACTCAATGGGTGTTGTGACGTTTATACGTTCGGTAGTGCTTTCTAAAGCATTCGAAAGTTCGGAAGGTGTAGTGATAGCTTCTGACGTGTCGTTCAATACGGACACGATTCGATTTCTATCGTTTCCTACCGTGCCGTCAGTTTGAACCAACTGTCGCGTGTCGTTCATCGCTTCCGTGAAGAGAGTCTTCGCGATAGTCATTAGCTCAGTGAGTAATGTATCATTAGACGATCGGGGGTCGTTCTCCGTAACCGATTCGACGAGTCGCACGGTCGGTGTCAGCGTGGTAGTCGCGACTTCTCCATTCGTCGTTGGAGCTCGCGCATCCTGAGCTATCGTTGTCGATTCGGGATCCAATGTTGCGTTACTCTCGTTGCCTATATTACTCGATAATGTCTGTACCGTTGTTGTATTCGAGTCCAATGTAATCTGTGCGTTTATCCTTTGATCGTTAGACTGACCCTGAAGCGTAGTATTCACACCTATTGTGTTTCGAAGGGTCTCTTCTGGTTCGTTTGTCGTGATCGGTACGAACTCTACATCAAACGACTCCGTCGTTTCGTCGCTATCCGGTCCAGCTATCCGCATGGTAGTCGTCTCTTCCGATTGCGTCGGGTTCTCCGTATTCGTTGATGACGAATCCGGTATCGCGTTAGACAGCTCGGGAGAGACGGTCGTCGTGGCGGTAGGTCTTTGAACCGGTGTGTTAATCGTAGAAACCTCTTTTTGCGATATAAGCGATAGAATATTTTGCGCGTAATCGACTAATCGTGTGCGGTATGTAGATGAGAAAGCGGGTGTCGCCGTCGCACCGATTTCGATTACGTCATTCGAAATCTCTTCGGTCGTGGTCGGCTCAGCAGTGCTCGTAATTTCTGTTATTTGAAACGGATCCGTTGTGTCGAATTGCTGAATGGTATTTGTTTCTATATCCTCGATTGAGATGGTCGTTTCTGTTCGAAGTGTGGTTTCCTCAGATTGTTGCACGGTATTCGTTTCGATACTCTCCGACGTGTTCATCGCAAGTATAGTTGTCGCTTCCGGTGGTAAGTGCATCACGGTAACGTTCTCAGTGATCGGAGATGGTATCGCTGTATCCGATGTGTCATTCGCCGTTTGCAAATTTTGAGAAGCGGGCATGTATATTCTTGCGTTTACCATTTCAGTGATGGGTAGCGTTGTCACTTCCGTGGTGCTCGCGTTTATCAGCTTGTCGTTAGAAAAGGATTCTGTAGAGGACAACGCTGCTAAAGTCATATTAGCGATGCTTGTCGACGTGGCTGTTTCGGTAGTGGTGGACGGTGGTGTTATCGTGTTAACGGGGACGGTGGTTCCGGGCGATTCCGAGATGGGGACCGGAGTCGTTTCTCCTTCATTTGTGTCCAGGTTTGCGGGGGTTTGTACTGTCGTGGTGGTTTCCGGATTACCATCGATATTATTCTCGGCACCTAATTTCGAAGCGAGCGAATTGTTTGCCGATTGAACGGCAGTGGTAGTGTCTACGGTAGTGATATCTGGGGAGAATGTAGTAGTAGTAGTCGCGGTGATTGATGGAGCGATGGTGTCATTGTTGTTAGCAATATCGTTACCGGCGCCGTTAGGTACAGTAGCGTTAGGGTCTACCTTCGTTACTACGCCAGTTAGTCTTTGCCGCTGAGACACGTCTTCCGCACCCAAATTTTCATTTCTTATGCTAGCCGACTCTAACGCCTGATAAAAAGTGATGAATCTCGGCTCGCCGGGGCTGTTGATGGCAACGGGTGGTGCCGAACCGGAATTCTGCAATCAGAAATTCGGTGCGTGCGAGTGCTGTACACACTTTGGTGCAATTACGGTGACAAAGTAGTCGGGTACAAACCGGGAGGTCGGTTAACAGGAGGCTTTTCGTAACACGCGTAATCTACGTGTCGAGGGCGGCGTTTCAACTCTTAAGCGCGTTTAGCTTTGGCATGAGCTTAGTTCAAGCTTACAAAAATGCTAATCACAGCATGAACATAACAATAGTAGTTTGCGCGTTTAAGAGTTAATACGTTTTAGTTGTTCTATTTACAGATATGCGGCATTTACAGATGTGCACTCAAATGAATACTACAATTATTGTAATATATACAATATCTCTTATTAGCGATTAGCGTGTTATTTGATAAAAATATTTTTATCGCCTAAACATTTTTATGGCAAATACATACAATTATACAAATGGACGTTATATGAATTTGATACATCAGTCGCAAGTTGATAACAAGCTTGTGACAGCCAATCTAAAATCAGTTAATTTTTAAATTGATGCTTTAGATTAACTATCGCAACAAGCTTGCGATCGACTTATCATTAATGTAGAACCAGCTTGAGAAAACACGTAAGCATACACCATCTTCAGGTATACGTACGAACTAGTGTAAGAGGAAGGAAAATTGTCGCCGAATGTAAAGCCTTGATGTAACAGCCGAGACTTGTTTTTAAGATTAAAGATATTTAGAAACAGCGGGGGAACTAGTTCCCCTCTCGTCTCCGATACTTTTTTCTCTTCTTCAGGGTATTACCGACTCTTACCTTGCGTCTACAGAGGCCTCCACCGACGTACTTTCGCTGTTACATTATTACGGAAGTATTGCATTAACAATTTCTCGCACGATTACCCGATGGAAGCCTCAGAACAAACAAACGTTCGTGGCACGTGCGAAGTGCTCACGTTGTGAAAATTATCACGCGTGAAATTAATCTAATTCTAAATAATCACTTCGATATTTTGAAATACTTTATAAGAAAAGAAACTTTATAAGAACATATATTAAAATCGAATAATTTCGAAATAAATCAATAAAGGAATAGAAAAGTGAAACATATTGATAGTAAAGGATGCTTGATAGCGACGTATTCTTCTTCCGTTTATATTTTGTATCATTCTTATTTTATTGTGTGCAATAGAGAGAGAGAGAGAGAGAGAGAGAGAGAGAGAGAGATAGAAATTATAGAATGCTTACTATACATATACGAGTACATCTATTATGCACGAGTACGTACTTTCACTTCTCGCTGTCCAAGAGCGATATTTTCTTAATGAGATGGAGCATGTAAAATGTCTTTATTGAGTCAAAGTAGATTGCATCTGTATTCGATAACTGAATTTAGAATACAATATCGAGATAGAACATCAAATTATGGATAAAGATGCAATATGACAGATGGATGATAAATGTTGAAACGGACTGTGAAACGAATATCTGGATTTATTGTGAACACGTTAACAATTTCTTGGATTTATATAGTAAAATACAAAAATTTATTACAGTTTTACATTATCAAAAATTGAAGTAATCGAAAACAACTGAAGAACCACAGAGATGCATGTATTATATTTTTAATGTTATCGAAGAGTCAAAAGGCTATGATATGTTTTCGATATTTTATTTGAAATTTTATTAAAAATAATAAAAGTATTTTGTATTTCTATAATTATATATGTATATTTATTTAAATAATCCAATTATTATATAAATTTCCTATTTTTGCGGTTCTTGCGGTTATTATTGGAAATCTGTAAATTGTTTAACTTTTTGCATTGTGTACATATTCAAATAAATTTATTTTTACATCAATTGATGTAAGCTAAAAGTATCAGGAGACGCGGTAATGTCTCCATGTTCAAAAACTAAAAGACACTACAAGTAGTGTTATAAAAATACATCACGTATGTATTTGCTCAAAACAACTCAATATTACTTTTCTAATTCACTCACAATTCTGTTACGTTTGTAAATACATCATCATAAAAGTACAATAAAAATTAAACTAAAAATAATATATTTATTGCTTTTTTTTTTCTTTAAAACAAATTTATACTTTTTTTATAACAGATATATATATATATATATATATATATATATATATATATATATATTTGCAGATTTTAACTCTATATGGTTAAATAAGGACAAACAATTGCTAATCGCGTGCAATGCTAATAAATCAATACATTTATTATAAAAAAATATAAGGTTGTATGGTACAATATTTGCACATATGTATATAGTGTATGATACGTGAGTGCTATGAGATAACGTGACATGAATCGATGACCGTGCATTAATCTTCTTCGAAGTTAATAAGTCATCCTTCTAGTCTTTCAAGACGAATCCTTCTTCTAAGTGTTAGAACGTTATATTTAATGATCTTTATAAATCGACCTTAATCCCAGTATAGATCGTTTATGCAATAATTATGTTTGTGCTGATGTGCTCTTTCGAAGCGAAAGAAATGTGCCCTTTTTAGTGCGTTGATATTCACAAATGAACATAAAGTAAATCAATTAAGGCTATTGTTAATACAGTTTGAAAAATGCATCTGTAACTCGTACGACAGTTGTTATACTTCGGCTATTCGCTAAAAGAAATAAAAAAAGTAAAAAGAATGTGACGAATCGAAATGATTTCTTATTATGATTAGAGAGGGTGGTCAGATTAACGTAAGTTGTTTGCATTGATATGATTAAGTACGAGATCGCTTGATGGGGTTGACGTGATAGAGTTGGTCCACGATGGCGGCGCAACTGCTTCGGAATCCTCTGGTACCTTCGTAGGGAACACCTTTTAAGCACAGAAAATTACCTCACGTAATTTCTCCTGAAGGGAACCATTAATGCGTTCGACTTGTATACTGCCTTACCTGGGTCTTTCTGTCGTGATTTTTTTATATTACGACATTATTATGACTTATTATAGACTATGTGAAAAGTATATTTCACATACGGTAAAATAGCGTAGTATAGTATACATAAAATATTACAACTTTGTCTTGAAATAATAACAAAGTCAGATGTAATATTTAGTCATACACATATATAAAAATATATATTACAATATACTACTTTAAATTCGCAATGTCGTCGTTATTTTTAAAAATAAAAGTCTTTTTTCTATAAATACATCGACAATGTAACACGAGATATCTACAAAAAACATGTGTAATACGAAATATTTATGATAAGCGTATATTTATCATAAAATAACGAGAAATATCGTATCATGAAGTGAGAATGACGTTGACGCGAATTGCTGCTATTAAAACGTAAAAATTAAAGCTAACAAGTTTATGAATTATCGCTTTCTATTCGACTGAGTACACAGCATGTAATAAAAAGGTGATTATATAATGTGCATTAGTTAAACAAAAAAAAAAAAGGTTCGTCTCTCCTCGATGACGTTCCTCTATAAAATTTTTTCCAAAATCCTTAAAAGTCTTACCTCTATCAGTGTTGAGGCCGTAGTCGATGACGTTGTGATCGATGGTACCACAGCTTGACCAACGGACGGTTTTCTTACAAACAATTCTGCTCCTTTATATCTCGCGCTGAATCTTGGCGGGGAACCGTTAGGTGTTATCCTGGGGGCTGAATTCTATACGTAGAAAAAATAATATATTGTAGTATATTTTTTTCTAAAAAGTATGAAAATTACAACATATTTTTAAAATAAGAAAGAAATATTTCTCTATGTGAAAAAAACTTCTGTTTGAATATATCATAAAAATATAAGATTATTTTTTCAATTATAGTGATATTGTATAGATACAATTAAGATTTATGTATTAATTTAACTTTATATTGAATAGAAAACAAATGGTTTTCTCTGAAAATTATTTAATCACTCACCCCTGTATTCACATTAGAATAAGCTCCGGAGAAGATAGGGGTCTTGTCACCTAAGTTGTTCAAGAGCGGTGCCACGGTGCTCCGTAGTTGCTCCAGCAGCGTAGTGGTATTCGCAGTGAGATACGTACTCCTAGTAGGATTGAAGATGTTGGAGTTGCCGCTATTACCATTGCTGTTTCCGGCGATACCGGATACTCGCGAGGTGGTATCATTCGAGGTGTCGATCCTCACGCTGACTAACGGATCGGAGGGCGAGGCTCGAGTGCTCGGTTCAACTTGAGCGTGATACTTGGTCGGCTTTGGAGTGATATCTACGCTGATTGTCGTTTGCTCGACTGTCGCCGGCGGCTGAACCACCAGCTGGCTGGTTGGCACCTCGGAATGCCTCCTATAAGTCGATGTTCGCGGACGGAATTCTCGTCGCTTTGTCTGCGTAAGCGTCGCTTCCGTACTGAATTTCTTGGGAATGGAGTCGTATGGCGTGAAAACGCCGGATTTCTTCCGGATGTACCTACTAGTAGGTCCGGCGGTTCTCGATGTCACCATAGAAACCGTCACCTTATCTGGCTGTTCTTGACTCGTATAACGGGATCGAACGCTGCTTTTACTCGAATCGCTTGGGGTTGTCATCTTTTCTTTATTGCTCGACAACTCTTTCGCATCCGGAATATAAACGGGATATATTTGTTCTGACGTCGATGGTGTAGACGACGAAAGCACATCGTTTGCCGTGGTAATGGTCGGTGGTAGTGTAATTTCTTGAGGGAATTCCGTGGGGACTTTAGATTCTGTTGATGCATCAGTTACAGCATCTGATGTTGCAGTAACAGTTTCACTGAATGTTTTATCTAGCTTCAGCGGTACGACAGTTGTAATGATGGTGTTTTCCTCTATAGCTTCCACCGTATTCGTCAACTCTTCGTCCCGCGATGCCGTGCTCGGGGATCGGACTTTTGTCGTATCAACAGTCGTGGCGGCCGCCGTTCCTTCTACGGGAACGGCACCGCGATGTGAAGCTGTAATTAGACGTGGTATAACGTTGAATTCTGTAACGCTCTTCGACGATGTTTCTTCGATGAACGAAGAAGCTCTTTCAGAAGTCACTCGGATTTTTTTAGTCGTACCAGCGGGTGATCGAAGTGAAGATTTGACATTTCGATCTTTCGATGATTTTCTGGTCTCTAAGATCTTCCACCTGTCTCTCACGGTTGATTTTTCCTTCGGTGCACCCGCAATTGTACTTCCATGTGTGGCACGAGTACCAATGAGCTTGTTGGTACTCGCTTTTGTTGTTTTCTCTACGTTTCTGCTTTCGCTGACCGTCGAAACTTCTTTCGCTTTTGATTTATCGGAATAAGCGGTCGTCGTTACATCGAAATTGTTCTCGTCAACATTTAGTTCGGGTTTGATTAATCTTCGGGCTAACTCCAGTTTCAGCTTGGATCTTTCGGAGAAGAGACTCGTCAAACTTGGTTTCGTGGCCTGAAAAGGTCGTTGAAAGAGCTCCATTTTAAGGACGCGACGAAAATCGCCAAGCGTTCGTAAGCAACCTGCCGAAAGCTCAGAAGTAAATTCTGTTAGTACGGCGATCTCGTACAAGGCGTTCGTCTTCCTCGACTCGAAGCAACGTTCTCAAGACTGTTCGCAAAATTCACTCGTGGAAACGTATTTATTCTCTTTTACATGATAACAGAAAAACTAATATATAGATCATCTAAGGAGAACTACATCCACCCTTTATTTTTTAAAGGAGGAATAGAAGTCTGATGAATTGACGAAAGAAGACGATCCATGCAACCAGTTGGCTAATGACATACCCGAACCAAGATTTCGTTGGCGTGGACTGAAATTTTAATCGTTCTCGTCAAACCACAATCTAAATAAGAATACTATATTTTTACACCTTGCAAAGCAAGATAACATAATATATGTAATGTAATAAGTAAGCGAAATCGTCTACGAAAGTATGCATTAATAAAAAATATTCGAGGAAACACAAATATACGTTACGTGCATGAAATTTAGTAAATTATTGAATACTATTACAAATTACAAATTTATATAATTTTTTGGAGAAATATAAATTATCTTTTTACAAAAAAAAATAAGTCCTTATTTACAAGTCTATATATACAGTATTTACAAATACATATTTATGTTGAATCAAATCAGATTTTTTTAGCATGTAATTCGAGAAAAATGCATTTCTAGCTAAGCTTAAAATGATTTATATTACAATAAATAACTGATATTTAAAACTATTATTTATGAGCGAGCAATTGTGCTCTTTCACTTAGTTTTAATTGAATGTATCCTTCTAATAAGTAATTATATGTACCGTAATTACGTATCATTTTTTAAACTATTTGCTTCCGTACTTCTAGCAAATAATAGATACAGTTCATGGGGCAGAATCATTAAATTACCTTTCTATTTCTTTTTTTCTACTACCAGTGTATCGGTCTCCTTTACTTCTTTCCATTAGACAGCAAAGCAATACATTCTTATAAAAAGCTGAGTATCAGACAAAGGAGATTAAAACATGTTGTATACCGTGACACATTTATTTAACGTTGCAGAATTATTACACGACGTTTAAATACTTTTTTATTTCGCAAAAAATAACTGAAAATAACTAGCACTCTATTTCGCACTTTATATTTAGTACTGCAATTAACAAACCTATAATAATAAACTTTCAAGGCAAATCGAGAAGCATCAAATTAAGATCGATTATCTGTTTGAATAACAACGTGGCCATTATTTGATTTGCTGTAATGACCTACCAACGAATATACTTTCTCTCCTCGACTAACTGACAATGTAAGAAGAAAGAGACAGGTTGATTATATCAAAGTCAGTTTGCAAAATCTCGAAACCAATTCATTCATTGCACGTCAATAATAGACATCTATTCATCTCTTATTCCCGGTCGTTTCATTAAGGGTACTTGAAAGTAAAACTAGGATCGCAATCGAAAGATCAGCAAAAGATTATAATGAAAGATTTAAGACTGTTCCGCGACCTTTTTGCAATTGATATATCTTGAGAAAACTTCTTGTCGAGGATTCGCCACTCCTTGCGTCACGATAGCGTTCAAATCCAGTCTCATTTGGATGTTCATTGTCGCCACGTTCCTAAAGCTTCTGCAAAATGCGTTTCAAAAGCTTTCCGGCGAAAGCTTTGAAGAGCAGATTCTTCAAAATCGTAACTGTTTCCGTCACGTTTTACCACCACCAAGTTTAATCACCAAGCTTTACTGGCAGCGTCAGTCATAATGTTAATAATGCATCATTGTCCAGTTCTGATTGGTTCTTAATGATGCATTTAACGTGAGTTTGCGTTTATAGCAACCAATACACCATTCCTCATTTCATACTGTAATTCTTGTCAAGATTTAATACACCGATTGTAGTGATCTCGAAAAGCTGTCGCATTCAACGATTGACGATCGTAAGAAACGGATCTCTTTTCGCGATACACTTCTCGATGAAAAATAAAATCAGACCGAAATCTTAATCTTTTTATCCAAATACTGGAAATAAACACGTGGTAAGGAAACATATACCAAAGTTGATATTTTTCTTATGGATGGACACCTTTCTAGTTGATATCAATTAAAAGTAATATAATATCAACGTTATATAATTTCGCAATCAACATTATAATGAATATTGAACCATTGAACTCTTTCTTAAAACTGACCCAATTATCACTTTTTAGAGTGAGATTTCACTCCAAAGAATTTAGAGAATATGTAACACATACCATGTGTTCCATTTATATTGTTGAGTACGAAATTATCACATTGATGTTATGTTCTTTTTAGTTGGTGTCGAGTAGGTGTTTAAAAAATTTAAGGGAAGCTCCAGAAATCTCGAGAGCATAAATGGGAATAATAAAGCGATTTCTCAGCTGGATTAGTGCGCAATTCCAAACTGCCATTAAAGTTCTGACCAAACTACCGCTGTGTTCTTACTTGTCGCGTATCTGGGTCGAGTATCGAAGTTAAGGGGTTCGTGGGAGGAGAGACGTGCAATATTACGTCTGTCGCAAGCGCATTTTCCATAGTTTCGTTTTTTTCAGATACATGCATCGTTTTCGTGCTGGATCGTATATGCCGTCGGAATGTGTGTTCCTTTGAATGTTCCTACGTAGGGCATTTTTTTAACTTTATACAATTGTAAATTATGAGAATTATACACATCAACGAGGGAAAAGTCACCACCATATTAATTAATTTTATTTCTACCGTATCATTCCTTTACGCGTTTATCAATATAGATGTACATGCTAATTGTTTGAGATAAAGATTCAAAAGATTAGCTATTTCATGCTAAAGATGCAACCTTTTTAACATCCACAGATTTAACTGTCTACAAATGGCTTAAATTGAAAGAAATAAGATGCATATTAATGTTATAAATCGTTAATATGTTAAGAGTTAAAGTAAATTAATATAATTATAATAGTTAATTTACCAAATATGTCGAGAGACCTGCATGCTGTCTTACCTGCAAGCTGGTCCTAGTTGTACTTTTTCCTTCAGTAGGTTTCGGGTTAGAATTTTTCTGAAAGTATTCTTTGACTAAGTGCGTTTGTTTTATTGTTAATTTTTTCATCAGTGTTATTAATACAATATATATTTTATGAAGATTTCACAACAAAAATTTAAAATATTGCGAAATTTTGTAAAAAAGTTTTGAAGTGCGTTTAATACATTTATGTCGTATTATAATAATTTTAAATAAGTAGATATATAGACATATTATAAAAACTGTAATTTTACAATAACTAAGTATAATAATTTAAATAATTAAAAGTAGAAATTAGACAGATGAGATAATTTAACAAATAAATAAGTACATAAAAAAATATATCTGTTTTTATATTATGTTATGCATTTTACATTCTGAATAAACAAACTTTAACTATTATCTATGTCTTTTTCGTCTCATTTTAATCAAGATTCAACATAAAACCACACTTTATAGGCAACTAATTTGTTAAAGATAAAAAAGAAATTTTTCGAATATAAATAAATTCAAACTCACCAATTGAGACAATCTAGCTCGAAATGCAGGAGGATAATTGTCACTCTCGGGTTCTGTTCCCTTGGGTAGACCAAAGCTTTCGGATTTGTTGAAGGTTTTACTGCCTCTTGTTGTGCTCTTTGCCGTGACGCCCGATACGATATCGCTTTCGTCCTTTACTTTTGGCCTTTTGGTGCCTCTTCGTCCGGCTTTTGTATTATTTAACGGCGTTTCGGTGCTCATCGGTGAATCAGTGGACAAGACAATTTCGTTGGTCTGATCTCGATTGATTGGCGCGGATGTAGTTGAAGAAGAAGCATCTTGACTGATGTGACCAGGTCGACGTCTGAGAGTCCATCCGGGATTACCACGTAATTGCGTTTCACTTTTAGGCGTAGTGGTCCTTGGTTCTGCAACAATCGAGGACGATGCCTCGGTCGAGGTCTTTCGACCACGAAAACCTAAACCGTAATTGAAAAAGTCTTCCTTCGGGGGTTTAATTGCTCGAGAACTTTCTCCTCTATCTCTTCCTCTGTTGCGTGAAACTCGCTCAGTCGAAGTGGACGTTCGAGTCGTTGTCGATGGTCTGATCGTTGTTGTAGAACTGGATGTCGTAATCTCGGTGTCCACAGAAGGAATAGTCGTAGTTTCAACGGTTGTCACTTTCGGAATGTAAGCAGTAGTAACATCTGAAAAAAATGTGATTATTTTTAAAATTATGCCAAAGTAATATAGAAATATTGCGTTTCTTGTTATCGATTAACTTCTAATTCTGAATTTAAGAATGAAACAGTATTTGAATTATTTAAAAGTTTTTGTAAAAAATATAAATGTAATTAATCCAAATATTGCCTCAGAGATTTTATTATCAAATGATCGCTAATAAAATAAAAAAACAATAAAGTGATATTTATATAAATGAAGATAATGTCTCCTTGAGACAGATTGTTAATTTATTAGTACTATATTAATTAATGTTTCAAGATTAAATTATAAATTACCAAGATTGCTCGTAGTTGTGCGTGACCGACTTCTGGATTGCACCCGGATGTCTTGCTCGTCTACCTTGACTTCCGCTTTTGATCTGCTATCCTTGGACCTTCGCTTTCCCTCAGACGTTCGTCTGTCGTTACGTCGTGTGTCCGTTCGTTTATTTGCATTCGTTTCAGAATCGGTGTCTGTATTTCTTTGTCTATCGCTGTTTCTTGCTTCTGCCGTGACCGCATCTCTCGACTTATGTGCGGAACGGCCTCTCGAATTGACGTTCTTCGAGCTAGATCTGTGTCTAGAATTGGAGGATCGTCTATTCGTCTCCGCAGTTGTGGTGTTGCTGGATCTGGACGAACCTCGGCGGGAAGTACTTCCGGAATTCGCGGTCTCGAGATTAGGATCCCTCGTTTTGGATCTGTTACGAGATTTCGATCGATTAGATTGTCTACTTTTCTTCGTGTTCGATCTTGCGATATCGTTGCTTTCCACCTTTTCCCTGTCCGACCTTGAAGCTTGTCTCGGGGATACACTGACGGACGAAGCCGTGGCGGATGTTAAAAGATTGACGTCTTCATCATTTTCAACCGTTAGAGGAACGTTCACTCTTATACTCTCGGAACCCGACAACAGAACATCTTTTGCTTGGTCTTTTGGACTGCCAGAATTGTTCGTGCTTTTCGTATCTATTTTCTTTGACACGTTTGCTTTCGAAGTATCGTTCTCGGCCTTTGAATATTCCAATTGTGCTTCCTTTTCTAATTCCTTGCTCAGACTTTTTTCCACATTTTCATTTTCTGGAGATTTTCTGGTTGGAATTAATTCACCTTTCGATTCTCTCCCGTGATTTACAGAAATCTTTCTTCCTGTTCTCGATCTCAAATGATCCGACTTCGTGAACACTTCGTGATCCAACTTTACATTGTCCACCCAGACGAGAGATGCGTCCGAAGACGTTCTTCGGGAAGCTGCCAATCGTTTCGGCGTTCGTGATTCGGACGCGTTCTCTTTATTGTCGTCCCTTGTTATTTCTTCTTTAAGAGCCTGCGTGGCGTACGATTTTTGACGATTTCGTGAATTATCGACACTAGTATTCAAATGCCTCGAACTTGTCCGTGATGTATCAGTGGAATCATCTACCGCCTGTGATTGCTTTAATTTTGACCGCGACCTTATCGGACCTTCTCTCGCCAAATGCGTTTCATGCTTTTCTAAGTTCGTAACTGCTTCTAAATGAGAACTCTTAGTCTTATCGCGAGGCAACCTGGTTTCCGATGTAGAAGGACTATTCGATTCTGTCGTTGATTTGGAGTTGTATCGCGCGGTACCACGATTCGTTATTTTCTGTCCATCCGTCTGAAAATGTGCAGTGTGTTACATATTTATAGTGATTTTATCATCATTTTATTTAGTGGGTCAAACTATTATTAATTAGTTGACTACATTATTTCTCTCTGTCACAAATTTTTGTTTCTGAAAAACAGGAAAAGAGATTTTGTTAAATTTCTGGAACAGAACGTTGTTACGTTATGATTACTTCATTAAAAACGTTCTGTTCTAAAAATTTTACAAAATCATTAACCCCATTAAAATCCGTACAATTACTGAAGATGCTTCTAATTATAATTCAGTATCAAGATGTTTTTTTATGTTAGTTAAATAATTAACGATAATAGTGTTAATTATAAATGCGCAGCATAAGAACTTTCATGAGAATGGATTACTGCACGTGCTCTGAGTACTTAGAAAGTATATAAATAGTCGCCCGAGGACATTTTAGAATCGCTTATGTGATCAATAATCGATCAATTAATGGCTACAATTGTTCGATTAACGTATGTAGTCAGACGATTATGATTGCAGCGCTTTAATATGAAAAAGATAAAATGTATTGTTAATCAAAAGTACACTTCGAGAGGAAAAACATCCTAGAGAAATACACGGCAACTCGATTGCAAAGATACCATACCTGATGAAATTGCAGGAAGGTATCAATTATGTAATTAGAGGAATAAGAGAATCCTCTGAAATTGGGATTAACGCAAATGGTAATAACTGGTTTTGACGGGTCCGATCGATCAACTATCGTTGACAATAATGTCTGACAAACGCAATTAATCGCATTTCCAGTTACGGCAAATAGGTCGTATTCGTCACAGATTATACCTTCATCGTCAGCGTTAATAAGCGGCATTAAAATCCTCGTGACTACATTGACCTGTCGATGCTTAGAGGAAAACGGCTCTAGCGTGCACACTTCTCGTTTGAAATTTTTCTCCCTCCTTCTTCGCAATTGCAACAAACTTGTTTTCAATATTGGATGTTTGCACAAGATGCAAATGAATCGGCGGTATCGTTTAAATTTTGATCTGTCTCATTTTATGAAGCAGTTATTGTAATTTTTCGTATCAAATTAATTCGCAGCGAATCGATAAAACCGTAATTCCTTTATGGACAAATCTAATAATCCATTGACTTAATAATATAGAAGCTTAGGAGATATCGCTTTTAATGATATATTTCGAAGACCTAATTAAATTAAATAATTGATCTACAATCAAAATTGAAGAAAAGATTTACAAACTTAAGGAATTCTAACAATTTAAATATTTCAAGAGTTCTCAGTTAATTGATTGATGCAAATAAGATATTTTGTGTATTTATTGTATAAATATTATATTAAATGATAATTCTTTAACGCTAAAAAATTGTCAACAATACTTATTTCCGGATCTTCAAGATCTCTTATAATCAGTAATTTCTAAATCTCAAAAAAATTCTTCTTCATCATCCATATGGGCAAAAACATCTAAATATATATTTCATATTTCTACATATGAAATAAACAATGTGATTCTTTAAAACAACAGCTGTGATCGTGCGCTATATTTATGATGTGTGAATATGCGTTCTAGCTTCATTATTAAGTCTAAGTCTTTTAGTTGTCGTACTATCGTTACTGAAAGTAAAAGTCGGTGTATCACGTCACGCCACGTTATTCCGCAAGACATGCTGTTAAAAACGAACTGTCGCGAATCTAGTCGATTTGCGCGTAATCAAAACGAAGAAAATTGGAGAACAAACTCGGAAATTAGTATGCAAATTTGATGCCTTTCGGTATATAGATGAAAGATAAGAAGACTAATCAAGTTATTTAGCGACCAGGAAGCAGTCTTTAACGTTCGTTTTTTACCTATTGACATATATATATATATATATATATATGTTTTACTATCCCACCCTCCTCCCAATCACTCCCACCAATCAATTTCGTTATTTCTATAACTAAAAATTCAGTTTAATTCGACATTAAAACAGCAGACCTGTGCATTATTTTCAATTTAGCGACAACATTTATATTCAAGGACAAAAGGATTAAAGAGCAGTAAAAGACCAGTGTCTCGCATATGTTTCTTTTTTGTGAAAAATCTTCATAATGCGGACATTTTTAGGGGAAAACGAGGATTGCAAGATATTTCATACTAAATATTAAAATAATTAAAAATGAAAAAACATAAATATTTTTATGACAATATATAACGCGGAATCGACTAATTTGTTTGGAAAGAAGCGCACATTGTCGATGGAATTTATAAAGAAAAGAAAGGAAAGGTGGGTAGAGAGTTCCGGGACGATTCATGTAAAAAGGAAAAGTAATGCAAATCGCGAAAGAAAGTCGAATTAGTACGATTATGACGCGTAGAAATCGAGAAAATTTTTGGATCGCCTGACTGCCTGACGATTATTATTACGAAATGGATGCTTGTAACACGCCGTGCGGATATTGGAAAAGTTCTTCGGACAGGTGAGAGGCTCGACTTCGCTCCGCGAAGGTTGACTGCTTCCACACCATCGAATCAAAAGGGTCGTCTACGTCTGGACGCCATTGTCCTTGTCTCCAGTACCCCGGTGGAATTTGTATCAATAATATTATATTCAACACATTTAATTCAAGCAAGTTTCATATGAAATGACCTTCCATACTTCTTGACGTATCGCCTTCTTGCGAAAGTCCGCAACACACCATATTGTGAGGTTGTTACTCGCTCTGTCTTTATTCAGTCTTTGTTTGTATATAAAATATTGTTTCCATTTACGAGCTATATATAATTTACTGTTTCCTTATCATTAATTTCACACATAGTTAGCTTTAAGTGGATGTATTAGTTACGCTTAAAACAGTAAAGAGTAATGGAAATAATTAATAAATTTAAAACGTATAAATAATTATTTTAGTTTAATAAATTTGTTTTATATTCCATTTTTGTGGTAATAATTATCGAAATTATTATAATATTATATTTTAATAATTAATTTTGATAATTATATAAATATATAGTTAGATTTTACATCAATGCTTGTAAAAAATTTTTCTAATTGTAAATATGCAAGAAGATATACAATTGTGGAATATCAGTGTTCCACAATAAAACATATTTCAAGGATAAAAAATTGAAAGTTTTAATAATAAGAGGTATTTAAAATTATAATTTAAAAAAATGCTTGAATTACTTAGCATTTTTGGGTGACACAAATACAGGAAGTTTTTAAATATTGCGGTACTTTGAAGGTTTCTTTGCAAATCATTGTCTTATTTATTATCTTTATGTCACGCATACATATTTAATGAAAGTATACATAAGCGACCTAAAAAAAACTGGTCCGAATGGGCCAATTTTCAGGGTGTGGTCTCGGCGTCCGACCCAACTCAAGCGACAGTTTACAACAGAGTTTGCTTAAGGATCGTTACTTTCACCCAAACTTTAATTCTTTCTTAGGAAAATATATATTATCTTTATTTAGAGAACACGATCAGCATATTTAAGCGTAAATAAATGATAGAATTTTTGCAGTTTAAAAAAGCCAATCAAGTTAGGAAATTTTATTCTTTATTAAATTTGGATAAACTTTGTACACTTTATTCAATTTAGATTATTTTTATTAAAAATATAATTACTATAATATAAGATAATTTAATACTAACTATTATTTGATTATAGCAAATTATAATCTTTACCTAAAATTTTTCTAGAAGGATTAACTTCCTTAATTTATGTGTGTTCTTCTAAAGTTAAATTTCCGATGATTCTGAAATATTATATATTATGTCTCTCTATTGACAGAAAAATAACATGTCTCAAATTTAGCATCTTTTCAATAGAACAGTTCGAAAAGTCTGAATTTAAACAGCATTTTAATTAAGATAATGAATATACATAATTTCACTTTTGTCCACCTTATATTTTTAATTATAATGTATACTTTAAAGTGTCATAAATTCTTAAAACTGTTTTAAAATATAATTGTTTTTGAACACTATAATCTAAATGCTAATTTTTTACTTGTGTCGCTTTTCCATCAATAGAACATAATGTGAGCATGTAATGTGAAAATGTATTTTGAGTCTGAAAATAGATAGTTTCCTGTATTTATATATGTATACTGTATAGTTCTATTAAATTAATATATATATAAACAAAAGATATAAGATTAATAATATTAATTATACAATATATATTTTAAATTATATTAAAAATTAACGTGTGATAATATTAAATAAATATTAATATATAGAGAAATGTTTACACTCGAATGATACGTGATTAAATGGTATCAAAAAGCTTTCCGCATCTGCAGGCAAATGTGAAATGCATCACTTGAATGCAATAATCTTGACTAAGAGTTTAAACGTTGCAATGCAATATAAAGCAACTTTTCCCGTTAACGAGCGAAATCGAACGATAGCTGAAGGACACTCGAGCATATATACAAACATCACAAAGTTGAGTGCAGCGTAAACGACGTGAATAGGTTGCTACGTGAATAGGCAGTTAATACTTTCGACTTCTGACCTTTCGGGATAATTATGTGTTTTGAATTTATACGATCGAATTAATTTATGCGTCCCGCTATTTACTGCTCCTTAAAAATTAACATCGATTTCATGCATCCGTCTTTGAAACCACTACTACGGAAATCACTACTGAAAATCTGCAAAAAAGAGAAAGCACATCGATATCTAATCTAAAGAAAATATATTAAATATATTGAGACATTTTAAGAGAAATTTATGAAATATAATAATGATTTTGTTCGTTTATAACTCTCTGACAAGTAGTCATACATATATCAAAAGTCTTTCTTATCCCGTGTATAATCTCTTTTATGGATAGTTTTACATATTTAAATTAATGTATTCGCACATGTAAAAAAAATGATTTTTAATATAAGATTCGATTTTGCATTCAAATTCTTTGTTGAAAAAAGAGAGAAAAGGACGCGAGAAAGCTGTAAAATATTACTATAACTTTCGAAAAGAAATAAGCATATTGTGTAATAATAATTTATTTGATCAA